AGAGAGAGAGAGAGAGATAAAGAGAGAAAAAGAGATGCACGGCAATCTCGTTCGCCGAGATATCCGTTTAAAGCCGAAAGCACCGGACACGTTCGCTCGATTCGCTTTGATTCTGTAACTCGTTACGAGTTAAATGTATTCCGATCACGAAGCAGCTGCAGTTACCGCGAACGCTACGTGCATGTTTTGCGAATCGAAGGACAATCGCCAATCGAATGACACATTAGATCGTCGCGGTCTCGAATATCACATTCGCGACTCTACGCAATCCAAGCTGCGACTTGCAGTAGATCGATGGTCAACAGAGAGACACAGTTGCGAGAAAAATTGCGCATTAACATAATACAGCAAATAGCATAATTTTCGTCCGCGCAATCTTCAAATGAACAATCGCCCGGATAATAGTTGGACGAAGAACTCTCTACCGATGCAGAAGAACAGCTGAACGCATTTCGCTGAATGCTTAAGATACTTCATAATCATCTCCTAAGTAGCACAAGACATCTTAGGATTGTCTCGAGCGTGTCCAGGATGTCTTGAGTATTTTCAGAGTGACTTCAGAGTGACTTCAGAACTTCGTTTTGTGCGATTTAGGCTGAAGTGTCTCAAATATTTCGCAATCTCACGAGAAGAGAGTTCCTCCGCGCGAGGATTATGCCGCAAAAGTGCTGCGCGACAGTGAAGCAATTAATTGTCAAGGCGAGCGATCGGGCTCGTATCGCGAGCGAATCGACGACGCGGTTGGAACGCCCGTGGCAATTCGCTCTTGCGCGGATTTCGGCCGGTCCTTGTCAAAAGTGGACCGGTTTTTTTTTCGAGTGAGCGTAATACAGGACGCGCGATTACGAGGTGGTGCCGCATAGTGACATTGGGCGCGGTTCTTTGATGGCCACGCGGCCGCAAATGCGATTCTGTTCGGTGAAAGTCGATTTGCGCGAGCCTCTCTTTCTCTCTCATCGCACTCGCCGTCGTCGAGCTTTTCTTCGTCACGCCGACGGTTATGTTTTCGTTATTCGTGCTGCTAATTTATTATCGCGCATTCTCCGACACGACACGTACGCATTGTCCTCGATTATTAAACGATTGATAGTCGAAGAGATAAGTGCAATTTTATAATTACGCAAGTACGCACCTCTTGTGCGAAACGTATCCCTTTTGCTTCATTGCAAATTATTATTTTTATAGAGATACTCTGTGCGGCAGCGGTTATTAACCAGCCACTCAAACGCAAGACTCGGCTGAGTAAAACACACGTAGCCGCTCATGCGGCTGACTCACGCTGACTCTTACTACTTGGTCTGTGCGGAGGAGTGATCTACTCGACAGTACGCTACCGCTGTGTTATCAGGAGACAATGCATAGCAACCGTGGCGCACTTCTACTTAGATCCGTATTAATAATCGTATAAAACAGTCGGATCTGGATTTATCTTCCAGCGAGATCTGAGTTTTCCAGTTGAATCACACGATATATGACGCGGACATTAGATTTTTAATCATGATTCTCGTTTGACTCTAAACCCAAATCTGACCATCTCATTTGAGACAAGTTTCAAGTATTATTAATTACGATTATTAATTAATTGAGTCCCAATATATTGAGATAATTGCAAAGCGACTCTTTGTCGTATCGTTGGAAGAACAAGAAAAAGTCTGATCGCGTTTGTTGGACGGTCAACGCGCGTAACCGAAGGTCGCGTTGCGTGCCAGCATGCGTGCGCGCGTGTGCGTGAACAGCGCGCTTCTTGCGTAAACACGGCGGGGTCCGGCCGCGTAACAACGGGCCCGAAACTTACGTAACGCGACGTATCGGACGTGACGGTCGGCCGGGCGAGCTTGCGATCTATCCGCGAAATCGGTGACATTGATCGACGCGCACACGTCCACCTCGTCGCTCTCACCCGCCACACCCGCCCGTCTGTTCGCGGCACGCGCGAGCATCGTTACGCTAGCGCGGTGACCTACGACGTAATCGAATAGGGTCGTGCGCGGTCAGTGGCCTAGTCCGCGCGCAAAGACGCGAGCGCGAGATTCCGCCGTTTCGAAAGAAAGACTTTTCGTCAATTTTCGCTCTTGATTCCCACCAAATCTAATCAATTCTATCTCCGACACTTGCTCTTACATTCAAGACTGAAAACTCTACCTATCCTGTACACACCAATCCTGTACTATCAGTAACATAACATCAATATTAGTGGAAGATCAATGAGCGGAAGATTATAACACTGATGTGTAATGTTACTGTTAGTTGGTGCTTACTGGGTAGTAGTATACGTTGCCATTCACGCCAGTCGCGATTTCTGCAGTCGTAATAATGGCACGTCATTCATGGCAAACGATTTATTACGATTTCATCGACAGCAGTCGTGGTAAAATAGCGAGGTACAAATAGCGAAAATCCCGAAGTAACGATTCGTGGTAACGTAGACTACGAATAGTCTACGCCAGAGTAGGTGCGGGCGCGTAAGTGAGACCGGCGATAGGGGTGGCGTAGGCGAGCGGCGAGGTGTACGCCGCGGTGTACGCGGCGTAGGGGTAAGCCGGGTAGCTGGCTATCGCCTTGGCTGTGGCAGGTAGACCCACCAATCGACCACTCGCCGCTGGTTGCACCTGGCCGATGACGGCTCGTGCAGGTGTCTGTTGTCGCTCCTGCTGCTGCTGCTGTTCTTGCTGTTGCTCCGCCTCTTCCGCCTGCGGTCGCCGCTGCTGTTGTCGCTGTTGCAGCAGCTGCTGCTGCTGCTGCTGCTGCTGTACCTGCAACTTCGACGACTGTTGCCTCTGTTGCTCCTGCAGCCGCTGCAGCTGTCGCAGCTGCTGCTCCTGCTGTTGGTCCTGCAAGCGTTGCAGTTGTCGCAACTGCTCACGCTGTTGCTGACGCTGAATCTCCTGCTCCCGCGTCAGAGGGCCCGATCGTGCCTCGACCACTTCCACGTCGGAGTCGGGTCCGAGCGCGGGGATCGACGGCACCGGAGCCGCGGGCGCAACGCCTGCGACGACCGGCGGCAGCGCCGGTCTCAGCGGCAACAGCGGCGACGCTGCGACGGCGGCGACCGCCGCGGTCGCTGGTTCCCGGCTGACGACCGCGTTGAAGCCGTTGATCGGGTCTGCGGTGTACTCGACGATGCGACGTGTGCCGTCCGCTTCGATCAGACTGTAGCTACCTTGGACGATGTCGCCGTTGCGGGTCTCGTACTGCGCCTTAGAGTCACCGGTCACCGCGTCCTGCACGTCGTAAGCGAAGCTGTACTGCGGCACCGCGTCGAATTCTTCCAATCTCGCCAACGGCACCGCCGCTACCGCAGCCGACACGGCGGGTACCACCGCCCCTCGGGCGATTGCCGCCAGTCCCAGGAATAAAATGAGCTGAAACCCATTGATGATAGTCAGCTGTGACATCACTGATCTTTTGTTGAAGAGAGCATATAGAGCAGATCAGTTAAGCAACTGCGATCAAGCGCTACGGCGGACATTGTGGATTAGTATTAGCATTTGTGTTTACAATCGATTATGAACTAAAGGACACAAATACCTCTTTTTCAGCGGGAGAAAAGATCGGGGTGTGCGACGTTTCGCCGCGAGCCCCCAGCTTCCCTTACCTTGCCGGTCATGTTTGTTTGTTCGCGGGAGGATCGCCAGAAGACTGATGTCTCGGGGTAAGATCGCCCGTACTTTTATACACAGACAACTGTCGCGTGTTTCGTGTCATCCGAGGACGATGATGCTCCTCGCGAAGCCGAATTTGCGACAACGCCACCCGCGCGCGCCCCCACTCTGTCTAATCATTCTACCTCTTTCTCTCTCTAGCTCCCTCGATGTGTCCTCCACATCTATCCTTTGGTCGCACTCGGTGCGACCCACCGATGATCGTTGCGACGTCAGGAGGCGTCGGAGCCGACATTGTACCAATGTACGTGGCGTTTATGTTTCTTCATATCGTCGCCGCGATCGCGCGACATGTTACACGCGACTTGGATGTCAATATGCCGAAGAAGACACGTCGAAATGGCTCGAGGTCGCTCGACGAAATCGCAAGGAGAATGCCCTCGAATGACATTCATTCTCTTTCTCCTCAGCTTCCTAACACTCGACGGATCTACGCAATGATTGCGATATTGCGTTTGAAAAAATTGGTAAAGGTATGTGTTTTGTATTAAAATATCATCACGACCAACACAAGAATTATCATTTAATTAATTTCAACTTACGACAATGTTTTCTCGTCAGGGGATATTGTCGGCGAAATTTGGTCTCTCATCAGGGAACGGAGAAAATCCCGTTTACAATCGATACTCGAAGAAGAAGACGAATGATGAGCGGTGCATTGCCTAACGCAGCTCACGCGGGTGAGCGATTGATCGCCGAAATACACGCGATCGCGCACGCTGTGCACGTATGCGCGCACGTGGTATGTGCCAATATGTCGAATACAGTCGGCCACTGGTCGTCTATCAAGGTCGTTCGACGAAGGCGTTCGTTCGCCACTGGTTTGCGCACCGCCCTGCTGCAATCGGCGAGTTTGACATTCAGCGGTAGCGACGATGAGTCCGCCGACGCGAGTCGACGTGTTACTGCATTAATTGCGGGACACGTAATCGTGAACCGTGGTTGCTTCGCGTTCGCCTCCCTCTTGCGAAACGTCGTAGGTTCGGTCCACGTTCGGCACAGACTGTCGCGTAAATCTTTGCGTAATTCGCGTACGCCAAATTCAGCGAGCCATCATTCATCTACGGATCGTTCTCGAATCGAGCCGACGTTGATCTCTCTACGCTGAAAGAAATATAGAGAGTAGATAGACAAGTCATGCGACGATGTCAAATTCTCAAGTGATTTTCGAATGCCAGGCAGTATCGACTGGAGCAATAATAATAATAATGACGACTTCTAAAAAACGTCTTAAAGACTTTTAAAAAACATCCTACCTTTTTCACACGCATTTTCGACGTTTGTGTTGTCTGTGAGGTGAAATTTGCGTTACTTACGAGACTGCAAAAATGTACAATGCGACGTATGTAACGCATGAAAAAACGCGAGATCACGACGCTCGATGATAACTCTCCTATGCAGCGCCGGTGCTTTCACTCTTGCGTAATAGCGACGGTATTTTCGGTACCAGCTATAACATTTTCGTCGACAAAAAGGCAACGAACTGTGAATATCAAGTGCATCCGGATACATTGCGCTACGCGCTTTTCTATGCCTTTTTGTAATCGCGGAAATGTATACAATGCGCCGGTCTGCGTCAAAGAGTCTAGCCGCAACCGGAGATACGAGGGGACTCGTTAGCGATGTGTGAATCATTCTCGTCTCGTCGCTTCTTCCTTCATAAACAGAGATGAGTCACTCGGTATAATTAAGGAGGACGAGCGCCAACCGTGACCGTGAAACAAGTCCACAAACCCGCTCGCTTACGCAACGTGATACCACGTTGACGCTTCTTCTCTCATCCTCCCAGCCGCATCTCACAAAAAGATTTATGCAATTACCAACAATACATTACACCCTACAAAGATCGAGTAAAATTACGTCAAGCTATACAGATCGTTACGGGGTGTCTCTGAAATCGCGTTTCTTTTATGTTATTGTTATTTCTTTGTGATCAATTTGATGGAAACCTAAGAAAAATAAGTAAACTGTCGTCTCTCTCTCTGAAAATAAAAGTTTGGATGTATAATATCGATGTTTGAATACATTCATACAAACATATCCATTAAACAATACTTTATCGATATTTTATTATGCAAATGATCGACTTTACACTGCGTAAATGTCCCACGGGGCATGATATCAGTCGATGTAATATTTGCATAAATCCCAATTGTACAGACAGAGCAATACTATTGATGTTCATCTCATATAAGTATATAGTATATAAAATGAATTGTCCGAAATTATGTATACATTATCTATATAATTGTATATTCTAAGTAAATTACTTATTTAGCTTAAAAGAAAATTAAATCACTTTAACAAACGCAATAGGAGTGCTTACCTCGTTTTACAATTCGACGCCCAACTACAAATCTGTATATACAATTTGCGATACTTGATTCAGAAGAATCACGATTCAGCAACAAGTTGCGAACATTCCTATTGAACGAATGCGTTCAATAGGAATGTTAATAGAAGTAACGTTAATAGTACACAGCAATAGCTGTTACATCTCGTTTCAAAGATTAAAACTGGTAATTCAGTATAATTCTAGCCAATTGTACCGCTTTAATCTCTAAATACATGATTTTATGCAAAAATTGACTTTTCTTCCTCCTATAAAAATTGTGTAAACTACATAGGTAAAGCATGTAAAATACAAAAAATCAATTCTTGCCCTTTATATAGATCCTTCCCGTGCATACTGGCCAAGCATTGCAAGCATAGCCTTTGGTCCTTATTTTAAACTCTCTTTTATCAATAAAAGTGTTCCTAAATGTGACTTATAAACTTTCTGATTGGCTTATGAGTACATTTAGAGTACATTTTTGTCAATCAAGGAGAGTTTAACCAAAGAACTTTATTTCCTTGTTCGTCATTAAACAAACTGCTCTTTAAAATTTAATTCTGATTATAAAACAAGAAATTCAATACATCTTCTCTGTTGATTATGGCCATGTGATCTTCTGACGCTTCTTCATCAATGATTCCTGCAATATTTATAAATACATACACCATTATTCATATCACATTATTCAAGTAAAATTCCATATAAGTAACAAATTAATCTGATAGTTAATTACCTGATTTTGTCCATCCCATTTGCGTTTGTCGATAACATTGCATGTAGTTTCTACCTTTGGTGTAGAAGATAATCGAATTTTTTTAGGTGGTGATTTTTGATCATTCAACACAGGTTTTAATTTATCTTCTTCAAGTTGCGATGATTGAAGAATCCTCTTAGTTCCTTCGCTTAAACTTGCATTTAAGCTATGCATATTGTTATCTCTGTAAAGAATACAAATAGTATATCAAAACTATGATCAAATATGTATTACAATATATAATTTCCTTTATGTATTTACAATATACTTTTTTTAAATAATTACTTGTTTTCTAAATATAATTTTTTAAACAAAAAGCTTACTTTACAACTGTGAGAGATTCTTCTGATATCATATCCACTTCTGCATTCAAAGTTTTAACACTTCCACGTTGCCTCTGTGGTAGCGGCATAGAAATTCGTCTGTACATCTCTAACAATTCGTTTTTACATAAATTTTTCAAGTTGAGAGTGTCAATACAGCTCTGTGAAGGAGGAAAATAATATACTAGTCAAATATATGAGCTTTAAGAGGTACAGCCTATATTCTAAACCCTCTTTCATCATAAAAATGTTTTGAGCCTTTCGCTTTGTTATAAGCTATTTTTAGAGACGTTTTTAGCGATAAAAGGGAATTCAGAATACAGATAAAAATCGCAAACTCAATTGATAACATTTGTAAACACATTTAACCTATATAGCTTACATTGTTTAAAAGCTCGCGAAGCTGGTTATCTGACAACAGTTCCGGGTGCGTGAGTTCGTGCGAGCTCAAACTCGACATTTTTGCGCACACTGAGTCACGTTGGAGGAAAGACTTGTGAATAACCTCGCTGACATCTCACGGAAATTGCGTTCTGTCGCTTTATCAGACCATTCTTATCGCCGCGATCGAACAATCCTTCTTATCGTCGTAATCGGATATTGTGTAAAAAATATGCATATTGACCTTTCGTAGTAGCCATTCAGTATTGTTACTGAAAGATGTAAAGTTCGTCCGATCCGTAGTTATGTTGTAACATTTGAAAATATACGCATCTGACTTCTCTTTGTGATAAGAATTTATTACTGTTATATCTATCACTACCTCAATTGTTCTACCACTTAAATCTATCACTACCTTGTTCGGTCGACTTGTACAGTGGCGGCTCGTAGCGGAGACTTCGGAACTAAAATTTTTAGTTCTGAAGTCTCCGCTAGAAGCGCCACCATACTCCTCGAATTAAAGTTTGTACGCTAGCGTCTCGTAGCGGAGACTTCGGAACTAAAATTTTTAGTTCCGAAGTCTCCGCTACGAGACGCTAGCGTACAAACTTTAATTCGAGGAGTATGGTGGCGCTTCTAGCGGAGACTTCAGAACTAAAAATTTTAGTTCCGAAGTCTCCGCTACGAGCCGCCACTGTACAAGTCGACCGAACAAGGTAGTGATAGATTTAAGTGGTAGAACAATTGAGGTAGTGATAGATATAACAGTAATAAATTCTTATCACAAAGCGAAGTCAAATGCGTTTATTTTCAAATAGTACACATAACGACGGATCGGACGAACTTTGTATCGTCGACAATAAGTAATAACTTATTAATAAAAAAACATATTGAAATAATTTATTATGAAAGAATGTTTCATATTAACCGAAATAAATTTCATATTTAAACTGAAGAATATTTCATACTAACTTATCATAATAAGTAAAAAATCTTTAAACATTGTTGAGACATATTGAAATCAATAAAATTTATTTAGATACAATTAAGAAAAAAGTGGCTGTGGACAAATTTGAAATACAAAATGAAATACTCTTATAATCGGTCAATTTTCAAATGAATTAATAGAGGCCAACAATTTGTCAAACCTGATCATTATTTCTAACTTATTAAATAATCATTGATACATATGTATGTATTGTAATAATATATATTACAATTGTGAAAGTTGTATAATGTCTTTAGGATAAATCTTATAAGATATAAATTACAATCGTTACGTAAGGATGCACTTGAGAAAATTTACTATTATTTACGTGTATCTATAAATACAGATATGTATCTGTTGCATTCAAATTTTTACACACAAGATAAAAATAAATATAATAACAATCCCAGCATAAAATCTTCTAAAGACGAAGAAATGTCCTCAGGACTTCTTAGGATATACTCTGGATGTCCCCTGGACATATGTGCTGTTAGGGATATAAATATAATAAATAAAAGTAGAGGGGGAGGGATAAGAGGTCATAATTATACTTCCACTTCTAAAACTAACTTTTTTTTATTCGCATCACCATTTTACGCTCATTCTTATTGTATCCAATGTGAGATTTATGTTTTCTCTCTCTCTTTCTCTCATCACCCATACTTTCTTTTAATATCTATGTTACTAAAAACAATTTCACGTACAAAAATAATCATAACAATAATTAGAGATGATAAACAACAAATATTCCATAACATATAATTCACATTCATGGAAAGTAATACACTCCACTCTCTTTGTATACGGATCGTATGCAAAAGATGGTAAATCTTATGGTCCTGCATTCCACGCTTGTACATATCAAAAGGCATTCCTACGTTTTGTATTTTGCTATGTAAAATGATATCCCCCAGACCAAAATATCATTATAGATATGCAGTATGTATATATAGAGAACAATTGTTATATCATGCGATAAACTATTTGCAATATTCGAAATAGAATATGTTCTGTTATGATTGTACATATAAAAAGTCTTTTTAAAGTATGTATTACAACCTTAACTGGGCATGATATTGATATTTTTAGTAACATGACTCTAATCTTCAATACAATAGTTGCAAAGGTTGAACAAAGTTGCTTTGGGAGGGAGTCTTTCCCCCTCTGATACTTTGATTATTAGAATATTTTTATCGTCAAAACCGAGACTTTTTGCTTTAAGCTCCATTATCCTGATACTGTCTTCCTACGTCTTCGTTTTTCTTTTTTTTTTCAATCGTAACGTTAGTGACACTTTTATAGGTATGTAATTATCTTCGGCTTCATTTTACCAGATACACGTTGGAACGCTAAAGTATTTACTTTCGCTTGATCAATTATGTGAAATAATTGCTGTACGCATCGTTCGCAAAGAAACCATAACGATAAAACACAACGATATTTTGCAGTGAACGCACGTTAATCGTCAATCACGCTAACATTGCAGCAATTTATTTCTTTACGTTAAATGTTGAACGTTATGCACAATTCGGCGTATCTAGCAGCAATGCAATGAACAAACTTCGCGACAATACCCTTTTACGTTGCACTTTGTAACATCCAATGCGTTAATAATGGCGTAACTTCGTGTGCCTCTTTGACTTCAGTAAAACACCAGTTGATTAACAGTATCACAACATGGACCTTCGAACATGTAATACAGCGACATTTGGAGAATTCTACTAGATACATTAAGTCATACATTATATATCGTATATATATATAATAGTACTGTACATATATTTTCTCCGTGGAAACATTAAGAAAGGAAGTGTAAGTAAAAAGGCACTATTTCTGGGTATGGGAAAGAATTAGTTTCTTTAGGCCTCCCTGAACTTCTATTCGAATACCTTCGCGATCACAGACCTTGCATTAACAGAAGTTACGCCGCCGCGAACGTGCCACCTTCGTCTCATTGTATACACACACTTATTAAAGTCTTAGTCATTATTCATCCAATCAGAAAACATATCAACTTCACAAAGTAAATTATAAATAGCCACTCGTAAAATTCAATTGCTCAGGCATACTCAAAGATACACTGGAAGCATAAACTTATTGTTATTCGCTTTTTTATAAACTAGGGTGTGGAATTATATTATACGCTACAAAACGATGGAATTTCTCGTATTATCGCATACAGTTGACTAGTCATGAGAAAATTATTAATTGGCAAGAGAATGTTCAATTGTTCCGCGCACAGTTTGAACGTGCTTTGTGGTTTTCGTCACGATGAATATCAGTTTGTCGTAATCGCTTTATGTAAAAACACCGGTGTTATGTTATATTGACTGTCGAGGATGACATCGATTTAACAATCGTTCCATTAAACGGGTGTTTCGTGATCAGTCTCTTCGATTCTTCCCAATCTCCAGGCATTCGGATCTCCTGCCGCTGCAAATCAATAGAAAAACGCCCCTTTTTCATAATTTTTTCACAACTTTATCAGAAAGTTCTATTTGAAAACTCATTCGAGATAGCATGTTCCTTATTACAATCGTATTTCTTTACTACACACATTAGTCCACATTAATTATACATTAATAATATAAAGTTAATATCAGAAGCAAACATATCTCCTCCCAAATTATGTCGGGGTCAATCGTAAAATTGAGAGGAACTAAAAAGCGTAACGCATGCGAGGACATAAATATTTAAAAATGCATCGTATTCCTCTTACTACCATTGATTTTTTTCGATATTAAACATGCTTTCAAGGAAATTGTCGCGCTTGATATATTTTCACTCGTAGATATATTCTTCGCTTTTTGTACGTTTGACTTTAACATGCGCGATAAAAATATTCGGAAGCATAGAAAAACTCACCTCGGTACAATACCCAGGAAAAATAATAAATGGTGTTACTCTGTGACATTTTGTGTAATGTATGCGCGCATCCATTGCAGGAACATAACATGTACACCACATACGATTCTGTGCTAGAGCGTTGCACAATTGGCAGGCAAGGATATTATAGCGAAGACTGAACGTTGTTTTCGAGAGGCGTAGGGTGAAAAGGGAACGTATGGGACACGGGTAGGTGATTCGCATGGTGTAAGGTATTGCTCAGTATCTCTTGACTCGTGTACAGCAGCGGCATTCTCTCTTCTATCCGAAGCAAAATCAAAGTTGATGCAAAATTATAAAACAGTGCGTATAATAAATTCGAAAAAATGTGGCACGCATTACCGCGCCACTGTGTCTTAATGCCATAACAATTGTAAACGTGAGAAAAAAATTGTATTACTTTGAAATGGGAAGAGTGTGAAATAGTGCATTATAAAAGTATGCATTATTAAAAGTGACGATGTACTCTATACAAAGTAAAAATATCAAGCCTGCCCATTCTTTCTTTAATCAACATTTTCTCTAGTTAATTATTTATACCTTGTATTTATGCAAAATACCGATACAGCTTTATGGAAATGATTATTATCTGTATGAAGTTATAATGCAAATTTTAACAATGCAACCCAAAAAAACCAGCAAATATAAATAACGAATGATTTCATATTTATTATGGAAGTTATATGTTGAAAATAAAGGCCAACACTATGGATAAATTATACCGGCAAAACTAGATGCGCGCAAAACATGCACATGCCTATGTTCTGTAGGAAATATTATATGTGCCTTTTGCGTTCACTAAAGAAAGAGATTGATTGTGATAGCCTATGAAAAAAAATGTACAGGGCATAGATAGTCTCTTTTAAGAAGAAATATAAAATGACATAGTATATTAAAGGAATATTGATGAAAGCAAAATAATACAAAATTCAAAGTAATACAAAAACGATAAAATCTCTATTATACACATTTACTATTAAATTTATCAATAGCAAGGATGAAAGTTGGACACCGAAAGAAACACGTACCTTGAAGTTGACGGCTGATGAGTGCAGTAATGCCTTGACTGTCACCAGTCTTTTTTACAACAAAAAGCTTTGTATCAGAGTCATTTTCTAAGGCTCCAATTCCACCTAGACCAATTATCTGTCCATTCTGCTGCTGATGAGTGCTAGCGGCCATTGTTTCACTAACCTATTGTAACAAAAATATAATAGAGTGCGTTTGATTGAACTGTTTAATCATAAATCTACTTAATTTCGATTAATATTTGAATTAACATAAATTTTTTTACGAATTTTTGTTAACAATTTTTCGTTAAAATTTTTATATCTTTTGAGCAAGTATTTGCCTGTATATGGAAGTGTTTATACTGCATTCTATAAAACAAAGTAATATTTAAAATCTTTCAAGCATTAAATATAACGTTTTGCAATAGAACATTCGCAAAAGTTTCTGCAGCGATTCAATAGATAAAACATATACCTGCATCAATTTCTTAACTACATCTCTGCCCAGAATATGATCAAATACTGCTTGCAGAAATTGATCGGTAATTATGCTTAATTTTAGTTTGTCCCTATGCCATAATAATATTCTTGACTCCTCCATAGCTGTTATTGACACCTGTAAATATGACGTAACTGCAATTACTCGTATTGACTTCTATTTGTTATATAATGATCAGTTCGCTAAAGAGCATAGATAAAAAATATTGATAGTGCGCAAGGATAGAACTTCTTACTGATAGCGTGACGATAATAGATGCGCAAAAGGCCTTACGACAATTTACCTGGAAATATTCGTCTGTCGAAACGCCAAACCACTCTGGAGAATCCAGGAACTGATGTGGGAAGACAATATGCAACGCTCTCCCATTTTGCGAGACCACTAACCTGGAAGAAATAAAAAATAGGATTTTGAAAAATAAACGAAACTTTAAGAAAGACATATCTGAAGAATTTCAAATAATAAAATATACACTTACTTTCCCGACAACACCAACGATAAAGAATCGACTTTGGTTACTTTCTCTTGTGCATAAACCTCTTGATACTTTAACTGGCGAATGACCTTCATGCAATTTAGTACTTTTCTGAATTGATGACGAGACACCCGTAACGGCTGGAACACTGCAATGTACACCTATATGACAGAAAACGACCGTGAGATATCTTTATTATCCACCTATTGGGAAAATACACCGAGACATCATCAGAGATTTTGGAAAAACTTCCACCCGCATTACTGTGCTCTGTTCCTGATATATTATCAGTTATTATAGTCAACGCGTTCCTGTCTAATATAAAAAGAGAGAATTATCCGCTACGTTCAAGATAGAACAGATAGCAGTTGATTTCAGCCACTAGATTTTATAGCACACCACTCGATTTCGATATGAACTATAAATATATATCACTCGTAATAATATATTTTAATAAGAGTGCAAAAATAAAAAATACCGAATAAATAAGAAAACTTTGTGTATGATACAAGAGCTGCAGCCAAACAAGAAGCAATTTACATATAGAAATCATCCTGTACTATCACTAATATACTATACTACTTTTAGAAAATATAGTGTACTTATCCATAAAAGAAATGTATAAGACAGTAATTCAGACGAATATAGATAAAAGCTTATTAAAAATTATTAAAAGCTTATTAAAAATTCTCACATATTTTTTTTTATGCTCTATGTATATATATTTATACGCGTACACATACATCAAATAAATTTTCTTATCATAATATTCTCTTCTTCTTGACTCGTTCTCTATCTATTTCGCATACTATTAATAATTCATCGATAAATTATCGATAAACTTAGTAATACCCATAAAGTAAAAAGAAAATAAACAAACATGCAATGAATTGTCTATAAATTTAATAAAACTATAAACAAAATATTTTTTGCAATTCATTCCTTTAATAGGCATAAAATTAATAAAACTATTAGGAAAAAAAGGAAATAAAAACTTATGCATAAAAATATTTTCCAGTCTGAAGATTGAACGTGTGTCATGATATTACTCCCTCAAATCATTTGTCTTCTACTTGATTCTTCGCTTACCTCTTCAATTTCCCTTGAAAACTTGATAGGCCTGAGCTTGTAAAGAAGCGTGCATACATGGACGAAGTTGATGGCAACAAAGAGAGCATTCCAGAGAGCAGCGTCCAGCCAGCAAGCTATTGTCCAGCCCCACAAAGCAAGAAAGGCACAGCCCACGAGTAGAGTGCACCTTAAATAGAGTACACCATGTATGCCGCTTGGTGCAAGATGTGACAATAGGAAGAAGGCATTTGCGAGTTGAAAGTAGATGTGGTTCACATAAATTCCTTGATAGGGTTGGCAGGTAAGAGCTCCGTACAGGAAGGTTGGAGGCACTATCGGCGAATGAGGATAACCGGATCCATGGCTGACCACTGACAGTCCAGTACCTAGAGAGACACGATAAAGCAAAGCACTATTGTTTCGCTAATATAACGAGTTAACCGAGAAAAAAAGAACAATAATTGTCCGTTGCGGGCGATCGTCAGGGAAGCGGAATCTTAAATGTACCCTCTCTATTATCAGTGGTCACATTCCTACATTCGTCGTTCTCGTGGTGTGCCGACGTTGGTACCGATATCTCCGACGTGACGGTATTACGTGGGACATTGGACGCGGCCGCATTCGTTAGGCTGGCATCGATGGTGATGGAGGTCCAGTACAGAAGCACGACGAACGAAATGGAAGCACCCCAGCCGTCTCGGCTTCCTATCGGGTCGAAGCAGATCCACATCCCCGCATTACCACCAAGCTGGACCAATTTTGTTTCGCTCTGTAATAAGCAATTTCATTCATTATAAAAAATACATCAATATTCTATGTAACCCAGTTCCATATGGGTTTTTGATGAGCTAAACTCTAGTTATGGAACTAGGCTTAAGTCGACTTTGCTATTCCTAGCTAATTACTCACATTTCTGTATTACTCTCAGCTAAAATTGGAACTTGACGACGAGAACCATCTTGCAGACTTCAGATCAAGGAAGGGTATTTGCATTACCAGCGGCTGTGGGAAGACAATGTTAACATCTGTAATGCAAATAAGTGAGCATTGTATTATTACACACAATAACGTACACAAGAAGATTGAGTATGTCTCATTAGTGCTAGCGAGCACATATGAGCGATGAGATCATCCTTTATAATTAGAAATAATTACGTTTTTCCTATCTCTCTGTTTTCTGTATCTCTATCAGCACTCAACAACTCAAACAACACATCTGATAAGACTATCCATCATCGTTATTAATGGAAAGAACCCCAGTATTTGCTTTTAATGGAAGTACTTGGAAATTTATTGGTCAAGAGCGTAACATATAAGTCACTTTGAAAAATAGAATGTACTATCCATTTTTTAGCATCCTGTAGTTCCAATACATGCATACAGGAAAATACATACTGCATTCAAGTAGTTGTAACTTGTTTCAAATATTTTATAAGTTCATATATCCGCAAATCTATCATAAATATATAAATATATAAAACATTCTGTCCTAGTAAATTTAGCATTTCAATCAAGAATATTAAAATAAAACAAAAGTTCGATCAGGTTACTACATAGAATCAAACTAACTTTTCTCTTTTCTCTTTTTTATTAAAATAAACTCAGATATTAAAAGATATTAAAATAAACTCAGTAATCGCACGCACGCGCTTTTCTTAGCAGCAGAATATCTTTCTATGTGCGTATGTAAAGAATACTTATATATATATATATAATATATACATGTGCATAGTAAAAGTATTCTTTGATCTGCCATTTTACACTTGACTTTTACTCGACAAAACGACTGCTTTTCGCAGTAAATCATGAACACACGCGGCGGTCTCGCCGCGTCGCATAATCGCTCGCGCATTTCGATCCGTTACGCGACACAGCGATATCACATACCGCGGCATATTTGGTAAGTGCATATGAACCGATGGCAACGAACGCGCTCGAGAGATCTCGTACGAACTCGCACGTTCGTTCGTCGTCGCCGTCGGGCGCATGGACGAACGGACCGAGAGAGAGAGACGGTCGTTGGTGCTGGGATCTCCGCGTCGTGCTCGAGACGCGAAAAATGGTCCGCTCGCGTGCGAGTTTGCGAGAGACTCGCTGGTTATTAAGAGTATCCCGTCTCGAAATCAATAAATAACTTACTCATGGAAAATCGGTGAAGGTGGGGGCGTACGCAAGGCATACAGATGAGAGGGCGAACGATGGTGACGGTCGCGCTCGTAAGGTAAGAGGAGAATAATCGTCGTGCTCGTTCTCGTCGTCGTCCTCCTTCTCCTCGTAGTCACCCTCGCCGTGGTCGTCGTCGTCGTCGTCGTCGTCGCCACCGCCGCTGCCGCTGCCGTTGTCGACGGGCCGGCCGTCGTGAGCGTTGCGCGCGTTGCGTGGAAACACAAACCGAGATAATCGTTGCAATCGTGTCGCACCGCTCTCTCCTCGCTCGTTCACCCACTCGCTCGCAACGAAAACGTCAAACTAGCGCGGCCAAGCGACGTCGCGCGTACACGGGTCAGATTGCGCGCCGAGCAGGGGCGACGGGGAAGAGGCAGGAGGAGCAAGAGGAGGAGGCGCGGAGGAGGCGGAGGCGATAAGTCAGAGGAGGACTCGAAAATAGGCCGCTCTGTTATACGGGGGAGAAGCACGTTCGGAAAATTTACGCTCGTCTCCCTCTCGATGATGCCGAGACGTTAGTCGAGAAAATCGACGCTGACGTCTATCGATTGCACTGCTCTGAAGTGCTCCGTAGGTGCTTCGCGCCGCGCGCGTGCCATTCACGTCCCTTCGCGCGATCGCGATCGACCATTTATTCCTTGCACTCTCCGTACGATTCCGCCGTCTTTCTCTCCATACGAAATCCTGAATATAGGTTCTCAGATGTAGAAGGACGATAAGGTCGAGAAGAATTTATTCTTGGCCTCGCTATTTCTAGTAATGGTTACCTTCAATATCAACTAATCTTCGATTAACCTCAATCCTGACTTCTTGACTTCAGCAATTCCTTCAGCGTTATCTTTAGAATTTCAAATGTATCCGTCCATTGAAATTTGAACTCGCGAAAGCGTGCGATTATATGTATCGATTCATGTGCTTTTTTTATTACTGATCGATTTCTAGGTTTTTGCATTATCGAGCTATCGAAGTGGACCAGTGTGAAGTGAACGTTGATATTAAATGATACTGAAGTTTGACGAGCGTCCTGAATTGGAGGCGGTGGTATTTAATTAATAGACGTTTTAACTTTTCTATATCTTGTGTTTTTGTGGTATATGAATAAATATTGATGTAACGTGAAATGGCAACAGAAAAGGACTTAATAAATGGTAAATGGTAAAGTAAATAATACAGTACTAAGAATGGAAATAAGATCATCTGTCTTTTGAACTTGCAGCTGTGAGGGAATCACTGAAAGCTGATGGAGATCTTGCTCGTATAAAGGCAGAAATGCGCACAAAAGTGATAAATCTACTCGACTGTTCAAACAAAGATAGTAAATCAAAGGTCGTTAAATCTTCTCATGATATTACATTCCTCAATGAACTTATTAGAGAATATTTAGATTGGATGGGATACAAGTATAGCTCCACTGTATTTATTGCAGGTATGTGATTTATATTTTATCAATTACTTTATCAATTAATATATCGCTTGTATGAAGATCTCTACATTAATAAAATAAAAAAACATATTGCATGCTAAATAATCCATTCTTATTGGAAATTTTGAAGAAATAATGCAGATAAAAAAATTTTATTTCAGAATGTGATCTCCCAAAACAGCCCTTGGATCGTACTCTTCTTGTGCAAAGTCTAGGAGTAAAAGATAGTGAAAGAAGCAGAAATTTACCACTGTTATGCAACCTCGTGCAAATATTCGCCAATTCAAAGAGCACCTAAAGCAAAATGATAAATGACCACGCAATAAGCATAAATTATTTTAACGTCCAATATAATTTTTAAATGTTATTTATTTCTCTCATGTATATATTACATACTAATTACTTGGATATGCCTCTTTATATACAAATATAAGAGCCTTTTGAGCACACAAACTAAAACATATAGACCATTGTTCTTATCACATCAAAATAAAAGAAAAATGCAACACATTGAAGACTCGATTGCAAAATAACATATGTATATCTAAGATGCCATACGTATATATTTTTTTTTCTGTGCACGCGTGTGTATAATATCGATGCATACTCTGATAAAATATAAAGACGCGTTAAAAGAATTTTGCCATTTTATTTTTGTGACTTATCTCTTACAGAATGATATTACATTATGAAAGTACAATATAACGTTGAGATAGTGAACATCCTAAATACAATTGCTCTCGACTCATCGTATAATATATTCCTCATAGACACGCTTATTATCTTTTGACGGTTATAATGTACATTGTTTTACCGTAATGAACTTGCATGTGTTTTAACGTGTGTGTGAATATATATATATATATACACACACACACACATATATATATATATATATATATATATACTCAACTCACACATAATATATTGGAACGTGGTAATTATGCAAAGGCCATACAATATTTTTTTTCTTTGTAAGTTAAAATGTAACAGTGTTGGCTACAATATTATACTCCTTTTTTCGTTTTTTTTACTGTTCTTCGGTCCGTTAATTTGTCTCGCATGCGGGAAATTCAGAAGCCGTTTAAGCTTCTTTTTCCGCACCAATAAATAATCTACTGTTAAATACAACTTTCTGTTCATAAAAGCTTTGAACTGTAGCAAGAAACGTCAGGAGTACAAAATAATCCGTTTGAAAGACATGCACGGAGTAATGCATCATTGTCAAACGGACTTGTCTGAAAAAATGATGGATAATCGTGAGAGATTTCCGTTAATATCCGAAAGCGTTTGAAGAAAAGTGTCCTGCTGCTTTTTTTTTTCTTTCGTCCGGTATAGTTTTTCGACTGAACATCAAGCATATCTAATGATGTCATTTATGCTTGGACTTTTTCTTCTTCTTCGACTGCTTGCTTCTGCTTTTCGACTTCTTTGACTTTTTCTTGTGTCTCTCCTCGTCAGTGCTGCTGTCAGATGAGTCTGAGTAAGTGTCCGAATCCGAGCTGCTGTCTTTCTTTGTGGACTTCTTCTTTTTATGCTTCTTATGCTTCTTCCTCTTCTTTTTGTGCGATTCATCGGAGCTGTCTGAGTCGGAGCTCGTGCTGTCGGAACTGCTGGACGTGTCCTCGCTGCTGGTCGACTTGGATCGTTTCTTCAATGACTTCATCTCTATCTCCTTGTCCAATTCCGAATCATCTAGTTTCAGTTTCTTCGACGGTAGCAGCGTCTTGTCTTCGCCATCAGTTTCCGAATCTGAGGCAGAATAATCTGGTTCAAAGCTGGCCTCGTCCAGTATGCTGCGCTTGCGATCGGATACAAGTCTCGGGTTCTTCCGCTGTTTCTTCGACGATTCCACCAGTGGCTGTTCGGTGGTTTCGTAACCGGCGAGCTTGGTCTCGTTACCGTCCGGCTTCTCCTTCAGAGTGGCCGTCGTTGCACCGCTGTCCTTATGTTTTTGCTTTTTCTCCTGATTCTTCTCCTTGTCCTTTTTATGTTTCTTTTCTTTGCGCTTCTTATGCTCTTTAGACTTGCTTCTGCTACGATGCTCCTTTTTCCGCTTCTTTTCCTCCCGCGATACCTTCTTATCTCGTCTTCTCTCCTCTTCGTCGTCCTTCGATTTCAACAGACCTATCTTCGATATATCCGCCGTGCGCGACTTAAACACACTACTAGAAGCAGGAGGCGTTCTGACTCTACGTTCACGATCACGGTCCTTCTCACGATCCTTGTCCGCGCGACCGTCTCCTTTCATGTCACTTCTGCTCGATCTAAAGTCCGTTCTGCAATCGATTCTACTTTCCCGATCAGACCTCAAGTCATGTCGGTCGCCGCTACGAAAGTCCGATCTATCCTTAGAGCGATCGCTACCTCTATCCTTGTCTCGCTTCCTGTCCTCTAAGAACACTTTTCGCTCGCCGCTCGTCAAACTCAGCGATGAAGATTCTACGCGTCGTTCCAGCATCGGTGACGGCAGTCTCTTTTCTCGTCTGGGTGATCGGCTTCTCGATTGATTGTCACTTTTTGAGTCACGTCTCTCCAGGAAACTCTTTATCGGGCTGATTTTCCTCTCCTTGTTGTCCTCGACTTTCTCGCCAAGTCGCTCCTTGGCGGATAATCTGGTCGGCGAGTATGTCTCCGGGACAGGCTTGAACTTTGTACGATCGAGTTTGGCCTTCTTCACGGGTTCGGTTATCTCAACATTCCTTTCGTTCCTGCCAACGTTTATCGTAACATTGACGCTTTTTCGCGGCTCTCGGTTACCACTACCGGCTACTACCGGGTCCACCACTTCTAGCACCTTGGGCTCGGGATTTTGATACAGTATCTTCCTGCTCTCGCTGATCTTCTTAATCTCGATCGGTCTAATCGCGTTGATCGCCTTCTGAAATATTGCATTCTCCGCGCGCTTCAACACCTCAGACGTCACCATCTTCGTTGACTTCGGTTCGTCTGTTTGCACTTTCTCCGTGGGTGAATCTTGCGTATTGTCATTCTCGTCATCTTCGGGCTTCTCAATCGTATCATCGCGCTCCCATTTTGACAGTTCTGGTATGGGCGCCAGAAATTCGTCTTTCTTCGGTGACTTTTCCGCTGGCGCCGCTTCCTTCACGTCGTTCGTATGTTCCGACGATGACATCAGAGAATACTTCTCTGTAATCACAGTATTGATCTCTGTGTCGTCCAATCCGCCATAAAGACTATCCATCGTACTCGGTTTCATGTCAGATTTCAACTCTGGGATTGGCTTGAAATTCGGATTCGGCGGGTTCGTGCCAAATTCCGTATGATCGATTCGATCTGGGCTAGATTCGTGGAATTCCGGCGGTTCCGGATTCATCGCCAATGACTTGTCTTCGAACTCCTCCTTGATCAACGGCACGATCGACGTCTCGCTGTGCATACACTCTATTCTGCTCTCGATGTTGTCTTCCTCGTTGCATGTTTTCGTGGAGTCGGCCTTGAGCGGCGATGAGGATGTGTCGTCCGCCGTTTTGATCTCGACTAAAGTATCCTCGGATTCCATCACTTTGATTGAGTCGTCTTTGGGCGCTGCCTCTTTCTGGCTAGACTTTTTCTCTTTCTTCTTCTTCTTCTTCTTTTCCTTCTCGTCGCTATCCTTCTTCTTTTTCTTCTCCTTGATTTTCTTCTCTTTCTTTTTCTCTTCCGCCTTTTCCTCGTGATCCTTCTCCTTCTTTTTCACGCGTTCCGGCGACAGGTCCTTGGCATCGCCCCTGGATTTTTGTGAGTACGGGGTTAGACTCTTCCTGCTGCCCTTCTTTCTCTCCACTGAGCGTCTCTCGTAACGCTCATGCCGATCTCGATCCTTCTCGGACTCGTAGTCACGCTCGCGTCTCTCCTTCTCGCGCTGACGACCCTTATCATCTTGTCTATGCCGGTCTCGATCGTCTCTGTAACTACAACGAAAGAAAATAAGCTATTAAATTATGCGAAACGCTTGACGGTGTTACAAAGCTGTTACATATCATAATCGAGAGCTCGAGAACGCAGCAGTTCATGCGTTAAAATAATTAAGACTTTGATTTATGTTCAAGTTTCTGCAATTTTCTACAACGTGTAGAACATACCGATCTTTATCGTAGTCCTTCTTCTCGACATGTCTGTCATCATCTCGACGATCACGAATGTGCCGATCGTCTCGTTCCTTCTCCTTTTCCCTCCTGTCGCGCTCGTCCTTCTCTCGTATCCTGTCCTCGTGATCTCTCGGCAGTACTGGCCTGTCGCGTTCTTCGCGATCTCTGGTCACGATTCTACGGTCCCTCTCATCTCTCTCACGTATGCGATCCTCACGGTCACGACCCCTTGGAAAAGCAAAAAATTATCAAGTATTCTCAACACAAAATTGACGAATATAAGATGTGTAAGATACTATATAATATAAGAAAATAAAAAATATAGAGGAACAATTGTGTGTTCTGTGATAGAAAATCATAGTAGGAACAGAAATGGACAGAATCTCTTAACAAGTTCCTCTAACAATAAGCATAAATCTTACTGTTAAAATAATAATTAAATATAATAATTAAATTCAGCGATGCAATCAAAGGACGTTACCTATCATCTCTTAGAGATAATCTGTCACGTTCCTCGTTGTCACGATCCTTCGACGAATGCTCGCGGTCCTCCTGTTCTCTAAGTGAACGCTGTCGCTCACGATCATCTCTCAGGATCCTGTCGGAATGCTCGACACCCGGTGGCGAAAGATCATAGTAACCCTCAGTACCAGGCGGAGCAACGTCGTCGAATCGCTTGTGAGACGGAGGATCCCTCAGAGGACTACCGAAACGTTGAGGTGGCGGTGGGCCGGAATACCTGTCGACAAAAAGTCAGTACAGCATTTCATATACGTTTGTCAGATAACACAGTCGCGAGTTCTTGTAGTGGAGGCCACTTCTTTGCACTTTTAGGAGGAATACATGATCACACGTCTTTTAGAACCGATACGACGACGCGAGGAGGACACCGTTGTGCGGCGTCCAAGTGATTGTTAGTAATCTCGAGATATCCCATGATATTATATGCTGAGAAATTGATAGTCATATTGAAGTGCTACGTGGAGATCGTACGCGATTGAGCGTGACTTCTGACAGAAGGTCAGTTCGCCTTTTTGAAACTTCCTTCCATATCCTCGTGAACGAGACTACTTTCTGTCGGTCTCTCTTTCTCTGGTCACACACGTGTAGAGGAACACTTATCTTAATAAAAATTCAATAATCTGACCAAAGAACATGTCGGCCGGAACGAATGCACTTTTTTCGAATTCGATTTTCTTCGCATAAGCTGAAAGAGTGAGCAGGATATGACACCACCTATTACCCAAAAAAATATGTTAAAATCATTAAATAAAGTTATAAAATCATGAAGTACATAAATCAACATTCATAACTTTATATGTGTGGAACTTCAAGAAAAAATACGCTTTCTCGTTACATTATAATTGTAATTACAGATACGGATAGATCTTCGTTAAGTTGTTCGCCAAACTTGTTTCAGTAAAAGGCGTAAATATTTAAATAGTAGATGTACAAGAGAAATTGCCGAATTGGAGTCTGTGCCGTTTACACTATTTGTTCAGGGTCGACGTGATACTTTTCAGTAGCACGTCTTTAACCGAACATGAAAAAAGCGTATATGTGAGCAAGTGGCTTTTGTTTTTCGTTACAAATGTTGATTTGGTCCTGAATTCACCTGATTCAGAAACCACGCAGACGTGTCAATCAGCTGGCTAGCTTCTGCGGTCTCCATGATGGTCCTTAACGCTTTTCCTTGCTTCTCTCTTCTTCTTGCACTTTTTAGATTACTAACATATTTCATAATGTAATATATATATATATATATATATATATATGTATAATATGTATAACAATAATAACAAGTGTATCATATTCACATGCAATTTACAAAATTGTATATTCAATAATATTGTGGTAACATGTAGTAAGTAAATAAAGCATACTTACTATAATATAATCCTTATATAAAATATTCTATATATATTACATATAGAGCATATTTTAAGATAAACTTAAATTAATGACCTTCTTATTGATAGACTTAATTATGCAGCAAGATTACCAAGTTAAAATAGATCTTCCCCTTACTTAATTCATGATAAATATTAAACATTGTGTATATAATTAAATGTATACATAATTGCATAATTGCATGTGTGCATACAATTTAATGAATATACTGTACTTAGTAAAACAAATATTATCATGTCGTATGTATACAATTGCCTTAAATATATTATAAAGATATGAAGAAATATATATGAAGTATTTTAAATATATTAATATTATTATATTATGCTTATGTCTTAATTTACCCATAACTAATTATCACACAATACGTTTTTGCGTACATACACAAGTCCGTTTAATATAAGAGAGATATACTTAGATATAGTTATGCATAGAATAGCTTAGAATACAACACATATATATATATATATATATATATATATATATATATATATATATATATATATATACCACAGTTTATATATATATATATATATATATAAACTTCCATAATATATATCCTACATTTTTTTCGTTTCGACTATTTTAGAGTAAATTATAAACACAATTTCTCTATACAGAATTTAATACTTATTGAATTAAAATAAGTTAGTATAACACAGTATAATATATATGAAGTTTGTAATAAAAATTGTTAAAAGACACTGAATTATGTAAATTTAGATTTTAGATTTCATAATTTAAATTTAATATGATCGTGGTGTGTTAAGTTAAAAATTTGATAATTTAATTGTTAGAGTTCTTTCACAGTTCTGTTTCGCCAAATATAGAATAAACCAATAGAATTGAATGTTTTAACACATTCTAGTCTAAATCGTGCAACTTGTTATTATATCGAAAAAGGGATATATAATAATTTTGTTATGGTTATATAATAATTTTACATATAACTGTTTCAATTCGTATATATTTCAGGTTTTATTGTATATTAAAAAAAAATAACTGATCGCGAAATAAATTTGTTTTCACTTAAAGGTTTATTCTATTTTCTGTTAATGATTTTCAAGTCGTTAAATGTATTCATGTATACATTTTTAATATAATCAAAGAATTTTGTAGTATCATGTTGTGTTAAAGTATTTTATCCGATGTTACCTAAAACAATGTAAAAATTTGCGTCGGCGACGACAAATTCTCTCGTCGTGAAACATCTCGAACGCTCTCGTTTCGCCCCTCGCAATCCCTCTCTTTGTTTTTGGTTTCGCAATAATTATAATAATTACTGTTTAATTATTTTATTACAATCATTTATTTTGATCTACGAAATGTAATATGTACGTATATTACGTAAATATTACACATACACACACGTGTGTGTGTATGAGAAAAACGGACTATATTCTGATAAATGCAAACTAGCTTTCTCTCTTTTGACGACCAATATATTCAAAAGGAGAATAATCATAAAAACGATAATATGTCGAAAGAATGAAAGAAATCTTCATTCTGAAATTTTCTTTCAAAGCGCGCAAGTCACTGTTTACAGCGACTAGCTACAGCGAGAATCCCGCAGTAAAATTGCATAACTCCGTTACCTTTCATCGTATTTACACACAGATTTACACATACATTCCAGACACTTCATACTTTGAGACGATATAAAAAAAAATAAGTTAACCTACTGCACCCCTTAATGAAAGTCAATACATTAAGGTGATATACGGAATAAAAGTATAATATGTATATAATCCACACACTCATTCACACATTCTATCGTTTTACTTGTCGTCTGTAAAAATATCAATATAAAAATGTAAATAATGATCACATATAAAATTTTGCACGCATGATTAAAAGCCATTATCAGTGGGATTATTTTATTTTGCATAATTAAGCTAAAATTTTTGTTTAATTATATAGGAGGTTAATATTTAATAAATATACCTTACTCTCAAATGCCTTATGGATCACGAATAACACAGAAAATTTATATATATACGTATTTATATATATATATACGTGTTAAGAAAAAAGGATATATTCGCAACTGCAAAAGCTATAATAAAAATTTACTCGGAATTATATTCGTGCGTTTTTATTTTGACGCCACAGTTTCTGAATTTTAGACTACAGTCTATGTGTAAGAGCATATATATTTTCGTAGTAAACTTTTCTCGAATGGAAAATTACTAAACATATAATTTTATATATAAAAGCGCAACTCTGTTTTAGTCTTTCTCAGTTTTCTTAGCAAAAGTCTATAAAGATATAAATTTATAAAAAAAATATATATGTATATATATACATAAATCTATACAATATTTCTTGAATAGCACAGATATACTTGCCAATACAAACACGGTCTTACAACGGTCTCACATACAACTTGCAAAAGGTAACATTTTTTGCAATTAAAATGTACCTACAAAATACAAATTGCATAAATTTGGCAAGCTTATTATTCTCAATGACATCAGTTATATATCACAATAAATAAATAAATAAATAAATAATAAAATACGTAAAAATTGTGGCCCGTCTAATTTTTATCACAATAACAATATCACAATACTATTTTATAAAATAAGATGTATAAAAATACATATTGTCAAATTTATGCAATGAGACTATATTTCAATGTGTATACGCATTATATTAAAAGGACTTGCGGAATCCTTCTGGCGCGCACAAGTTTCTCGCTAATAAACACAACAAAGACAATTCGGTTTCCATATTTTATGTCGCTTTTGTGTAATCCATCCGCCACACTTCCGCTATTTTGTGCAGGGGATGGTGGCGGTAAGAAGGTTTAGTCTTGATAGACTATCTGCTTAACGTGTACATGAATGAAAATACTATTGAGGCGAAAATACCTGTTGTAAGAATCATAATAGTCTTTCCTGTCCGTAGGCGGAGGTCCCAATGACATAAGCGGCGGTGGTGGATGACCTCCAGTGACTAGATGCGGCATCAACGGCGGTATGTTATGTTGGGACGACTGGTTCCTTATGGGATATCTCGGTAATGGCCTCTCCCTAGGTGGTAAATCGCGTTCACGATCTCTGAACTGATAGTCGTGAGCCGGCGAATCGCTGTAATAAGTATTGTATCCGTCCCGGGGCTCGCGGGATCTCGGTCGTTCTCTCTCGCGATCCCTTTCCCTTTGGAATCTGGAAAGAGCAAGCGGTTTTACACGTTACAAAGAATAAATCGAGACGAAATACACACAATGAAGCTTCGCTCTTAAGAAAACGATAAAACAACAATCATTGAATATATACCTCGGAGGTGATCTTATTGGCGACCGATATCGAGGTAATAAATCACGATCTCGATCTCGTTCGCGATCTCTGTCGCGATCACGATCACGCTCGCGATCTCTTTCCCTCTCTCTCTCCCGCTCCCTGTCTCTTTCTCTATCCCGGTCTCTCGACGGGGATAGTCTCGGCGACTGACTGCGGGAGTACGATCTGGATCTGCAACACGAACACGAAGCTTGAAAAATCACCGAACGAGGACTTTTATTGTGCATATCGCATAACGTGCATCTTTTAAATCACTGAGGTACCTGCTGATGGAGAAACTGCCACTTCTCGATCTACGTTTTGGAGTACGACTACGAGGTCTGAGCGGTAATGGTGATCTGGACGACCGACGCTTTGACGGTGGACTGCGAGATCGACTGAGGCGAGAAGTAAACGGTGATCTACGTCCAAACGAGCGTGATCTGGATCTACTGTAACTGCGGGATCTTGATCGCGTTCTACTTCTTCGTCTGTGCTTGCCGAGACGTCTGTCTCTTTCATCTTTCTCTCGCAGCATACGCTCGAACGCTTCCAACGGATCATCGATGATACTAAGCAAAGAAAAGAATTGCGCGTGTATTGGTAATAAAAAACGATTCAATTTCAGATATGTTCGCTGCGTCGGATTAACTTACCCAGGAGGATTTCCATTATGTATGTTTCTACCCAGTCCTGGCGGAGGTGGCTGAAGACCTCTGTATCCCACTGCAACAAGACATTTATTAATTATTAAATGAGACATTGATAACTAATCGTCAACGCCCAAAGAAGCTGTTTCCATTCAAATACAACGAATTTAGCACGTTACTTACTGTGATGTAATCCTCTAAGTGGTCTCGGTGGCCCGTTGTAATTTCGAGGCGGCTGAGACGGTCGGTAACCTTGCTGTTGATAAGGCGGTCTATCGTATCTTGGTGGTCCATAATGTGAGCCTTGTTGATGTGGATATATCGGTATTCGATGACTCATGTATGGATCAGGCAACAGCGGAGGATTGTGTGGCGGTACGTTTGGCGGCGGCTGATTGTAATTCGGTGGTGGAATACGCTCCTCGCCCGGTGGAAATGGTAACAATGGCGGCTGGTTGCCGGATGAAGGGACGTGCAGGTGCGGTTCGTCAACCTGAAACATTACAGCGGAAGTGGTAAACTTGTACATAAATAGACAGTTACATTTCAGGGTTATGTCGTAGATTTCAAGATTACGTCTACGTGGATTGTTTACGTGTTGTCTTCTTTCATGTAAGCAATATAAACTATATAAGAAATATTGTAAATTAAAAATGTAAAGAATAATATTATGAGACAGTTGCTATGTGTGTTTTGAATGTTAATTGTAAATGTAACGTTTAAAAAAGATAAATTTTTTTAATAAATTGTGAAATTTTCATTTAATAACATGATAGTTTTTATAGATTTAACTTTAAAGGTAAGAATATAATCAGATAATTCTGTACTCTAAGAAATAAAAATATAAATTGTTTTAAATTTATTTTTTAACCATACGTGTTTAGACGACATTCATAGATTGCTCATTAAATAAATGATATTTCACACGTAATTCATGTTAATATAAATATGTCTACATATAAATGTAGAGTATCAATTTGCGTGTAAAATGACCAAGTATGTTACAATTTATTGTCATTTAGCTAAAGAGAAAACGTATACCCACCGTCGGAGTACCAGGGCGATCCTCATTGGATCTTCGTATGCCGCTGTCATAATGCATAGCAGGTGGGTAATGTCCATCATCCCCTAAGTGTCCTTGATAACCTTTGGAAGGAGTTGGGTTCATTAAGTGAGGCGGTACTCCGCTCGAGGATGGGTAATCGCTGTGCTGGGAATGTCTGGGCGACAGGGATCGCCTGCGATTCAATGGTCGTAAGTTCTCGATTCTACGGCCACGCTCTCCGCTTCTGTATATTATCACAGAAAAATACAACTTGTTAATCACTTCAATACACTGCAGTAAAGGTCTATAATATTAAGGTCTTTAATTCCATTTATATATCATTGCATAAACCTTTTACAAATATGCTCAAGTGATCTCATATTCTTTCACACAAATATCTTTTTATATAAAAATAGCACGCAAGAATTTTTTGCTGGCAGTGTAACGCAAATTAAGCTTATTAAATTGCCTTTTCTGCTGTAGCCATTGTCAATAGCGTGAATTACATCTTATTTTCAGTAGTTATAATTGCCTTGAATAGTATACATTTGCCCAGATCAATATTTTAAATGTTCTTAAAACATATGTTTTGTTTTTTAATTATAACTTTTATTATAATTTCATTAAACTGCAAAAATATTGATAAATTTATGTTTTCTACACTAGTTAAAAAAGAAATTAATATGTTTTCTTATTAATTTAAAAAAAAACATTAAATTTTGATCATTTTTATGGAAGTTATGAACAAATGAAAATGTACTGGATAAAATTTAATCATGTTTAAGATACATGTAGCTTTTTGATGTTTAGAGTTTTAGAGTTAAGAATAATTGAGCATTTGTCCATTGTGAGACTAAAGCTCAGTTCCACAACTTACTTTATCTAGAGTTTAACTTGTTAAAGGCTTATCTAAACAAACTAGCATAGTTGCATTAACATATGTAATCATATGAAAATTAACTAATCTAATGTAAAATGTATCTAAGAAGCATCCTTTTACTGCATAGATTATGATTAGTTGATTTCCTTTTTCATATGCAATATACAATTATAGTTTATCTACATAGACCTTTAGCTACTTAAACTCCAGTTAAAGTAAATTGTGAAACCAGGCCTGAAACATCTCCCTGAATAATGATATTAAAGTGATAATTCTATTAAAATTAAGTCACTCCTTAAGTCAGTTTACCTTTCACGATGACTGTCTCTACTGAAGCTTCGTCGACGTTCTCTGGATTGTCGTTCTCCTGTGTAGTCATTGTCCCGTTCCTTCTTCTCACGACACGGTGGTTCCTGGCTACGTTCTTGCTCTCTCTCGGGCGAACTTACAATAGCAGGTATTGGAAGTAAAGGCTCTGTCCCTGGAGGAGGAGGCACCTCAGTTTCTTCATCAGTTGTTAGTTTTGTTACCGAATCACTTTGTAAGTGTGACTCTGAGGTGGGTTCAGGCACAGCTGTCAGAAGCACATCACAATACGATTAAGCAACTCGAGCTTAGGCAATTAAAACCCGCTGTGAAACAGCGGTATCGCGATACTTCGCGCTGAAGACGCACTAATGTACTGGGTACTTTGGCGCATTTGAGGTTATGTGTTTAATATCGTCAGCTGGTTGAATAAACTCGGATATATCGTCAATAATATATATATTACAATGCAAGATTAAGTAACAATTGAGCGCACTCCATCGCACAACAAGCCACTCAACAAGTATTGCGCGTTATATGAAACAAAAGTGCCAAAGCCACATTGGTTACATACTTCGGTAATGGCGTCTGGCCTCTGTTTTCGTGCGAGATAATCTACAGAAAGGTAGAAAGAGGCTCACCTTACGCGAGAGAGATATACTATATACATATACTGTATATAAATAGGTCACTTTCGTCAGTACGCGACACAAAATAACGCTCTGAGTATGAGCAAAGAAATGAAAAAGTTATTTGCCTTCTTATTTTTTCAATAAATATAAAAAAAGAGGGAAGAAATTTTCAAAATATCTTTCAATATCTATAGATCAAAAGATCTAAATTATGGATATCCCTATTATTAATCAAGGTGTTTGCATCAAATTTCAGTATTCAAATTGCAACTCAAATTGAAAAATACCACATAATTATTATTATTATAAAAAGAACACTAATAAATAATTTAGAATAAATAATATATTTCGTATAGGAAACTTTTGGAAAAATTATTGTAACATTTTTTTTCTCCCCATAGTACCTAATTAAATTATATTAATTGTTATTAATGTCTAATTTTTTTTCTATGGTCTCTGGCTGCTAATTTAATAACTAATACAAACCTTATATATATGCTGTAGTTTGATGTGTTATTAGTAATACATTATTAATAATATATATATACATGTATATACTGTATATACATATATATATATATATATATATATTTGTAATATCAAATTACTTAAAAATATTATCACTAGAATGATAGAAAACTTTTAAAATTGACAGACTTGAAAAACTTGACAAAATAAAAATTTGCTAAATATTCCATAAATATATATATATAGATATACCAAAATTAATATCAGCAAATGTGTGTCACAGACAAAACTGTTAAGATGTTACAAGTAAATGTTTAACCAAAACAAATAGGCTAAACAAAAAGTTTAGATTAATGTGACAAAAATATTTAAACTTTAATAGAATCCAGCGATTAGTTACTGAAAGTCCCTAACATGATTAAGTAAGCATCACTCTAAATAAAAAATGACAGTTGTATGCAGTGTTGCACACTGATCCCACACTAATCAAGACTCAATGACGGACTATAACTATCAAACACAAGAAAACATCATACAAGATACAGCTGTTTTGGTTGCATTATCCTAATACATCATAAAATTATTATCACATCTATTATTACAATACACAATCTTACATCTATTTATTTCTTTGTAGAATTATATAATATATACACAGGAACAATAAAAAATATTGTATATGTATATCGAAAAACACTTACTGCTCGGCGTCTGTGGTTGCAAACTGCTGGGGGCGGCCGCCGGGACGTGTTGCGAGATAGATTCGATATTAGCGGGTTGTGGCGGTTCGGTAGGTTCTTGAGACGATGCGCTAGGAACGGAAGACGATTGCGTACTTTGAGGAGATATTTGACTAGCAGTTTGTTGTGTTTCAACTTTCGGTTGTTCCGTCGGCGCAGCCGACGGCTGTCCAGCACTTTGCACAGCAGGTCGATATGTTTGTCTTTTGGCATAACCAGTTTCATTTTTGAAATTCATAACCGCGTTACGCAGAAATCGATTCGGAATAAGAGTCTCCGGCGACACGTCTTTCTCATTACAATCCGGACACTCGTGTTCCTCGGACTCTAATAAAAATGTGCGAATACCTGTTACCAAAAGGAGAAAAAAAGAAATGTAAGTATAATCGCGATTATGTTTATAGGAGGAGAATGAAGTAACTTTGATCTCTGTTCTACAACTTTGCTCACGACTTAAAGCAAGGTTGTAGACCTGAATTTTGACATCAGTAATTCATAAAGATTTACATTCATCGCAAAAGGAATTTCCGCAACACGGAATCATCACTGCGTCCGTTAGAAGATCCTTGCAGATATTGCACAGCAAATCCTCTGGTATCTCTGGCTTCTCCACTACGGGTTCCGGATCCTGCGAAAACGGTGGTCGCTCCTTCTTGCCTTCCTTGTAAGCTTGACTGAGCACACAAAGAAGTGATAATTACTCTCTACAGTCTGTATTGTATATATTATATACCGCAATATTTTTTGAATCTACGATAGATATAATATAAGCTTTTAATATATAATTTCTGGCAAAAAGCGTTTTCTACGATTGGAACAGTTGGAACATGGTCAGCTTATTTAAAGTTTAAGAATTATGATCTCAAGTAGTAGTAAGACATTGTTTTCGGGTTTAGAGCAAAATACAAAAAAAAAAAAGACTACAGGTGCTTACTACACCTATTGAAGACTCAGCCTTAAAGGAGATAAACATTGTGACGATAGAAAAAAATAGCTCTTTTTAGTGAATTTTTTTCGACTGTCACAGTGTTTATCTCCTTTAATCCTTAGTGGTCCTACATGGGTATTTCGAGTCCAGACGATTTTTGTTCATAGAAATTTCTTAGCATGTTGAAGGGTCCTGGATTTTCTGCCTCTCCTAACATGTGCACAATGAAGTGTAGGTATTTGTTCTAAAAACTTGAAAGTAATCCGTGAATTTTTCGAATCACTTAAAAAATATGATAAAAGAGCTGGACTCGAAAGATCCATATAATGCCGTTTTTCACATAAGCCATTAAGGATTAAGTTCAATAAATAGCAAAGGTCATCAAGACCATTGCTCAAATCAAGATATTGCAAGTGAAACTTACTGATCGATAGCAGGAACTGCATAGTGTCCTGTGGGTGTCATCATGGCGCCAGGAACGAGAGGACCTTCAACTGGCACCATGAAACTTCGAGGAATACCCGTGCTCTTCTTAATTTCGATCGGTTCTTGATTTGTTCCTAATGGGCAGTTTTTTATCCAATGGCCAGGCTGATGGCACTTGTAACATCGATAATTGGCAGGTACATCACCGGTCTGATTTGCTCCACGAATTTTCATGTAACTACATTTAACAGAAGTTATTTGTAACTCAACACACAGTTTGTATTACATAAGAATGGTCTCACATATACTATGATTAATCAAATAACATGTCAGCATACTTGATGAAAGATAAAATTACTTACTTAGATGGATCGTAATCTTGAGTCGACTGTGTCATCATCGCGCGAATCTTATCCTCTTCAGAGCCGTCCAGTCTCGTAAGATCAACAGCTCTGCCCAAGTTGGCTTCATCTTTTAAATTATTAAATGGAGGGGTTTCATTTCGGTCCCATGAGCGCTTTTGTTGCACCGTGAGTGGAACTCTGGCAACTATAAGGCTGGTATTCTTGGCAATCAATGCATTATCGTCTGTGTAATCTATAGAAATATATCAATTGTTAATTGAATAATTGATGCAATCTGAATAATTTAAAAGGAAAGAGAGAAAGTTTGATATTTGCCTTCTTTAGTTTGTGCATTAGTGATCTGTAGATCAAAGTCTGTATTTTTGCCGATACGTTTCTGGTGAAAGATTGCTTTCTTTAGATCTGCCACAGAAATATGCAGTCCATCAAACGACACGGTATCGTAGTCTAAGGTGGATTTAAATTTGTAATGTACCGACATTGTGTTACCACCTGAGTAACCTGAAAATATACACAAAAGATTACTAATATTCTCCAAATAAATAATAGCAAAGAGATTATATGAAAGAGTTCTATTTGAGAATACAAATGACTAAGCTAAAGTCAAGAAGGATGCAAAAAATTCAGATTCAAGTTGCATTGTGCAGGGAGAAGAAAATAATGTTTACGTAAAAAAATTCACATTGTACAACGGTGAATCAACGATCCAAGTTCATTTCTGTCTTCCTGTCTCGACAAAACACGCAAAAGCGACGACGACAAAGTGCACCTGCTCGCGCGAGACCGAGCCCAGCAGCAATCGTATGCGGGCCTCGCGGATCCGTTAAGACGAAACAAGATGAGAAAATAACAATCCGAGGCAAGAAAAGTTGTTCCGTCGATTGAAAGGTTAAATGTAATGGCAACGTTTGATCGCAGCGATACAGGTAACGTCAGAGATTATCGCAGTGTGTGAACGCAGGAGCGGACATGAGTGTACGTGTAGATACTCACTGTGCGGCACGCTGAGCGGAGATCTCTCGCGATACAAGGTTCAGTAATACAGAGTACTGCTGCTGCTTCTTCGATGGACGACCACGACGACGGCGTGTAGAATGCGCAGTGCGTGTTGCTCTCGTCGACATGTCACTCAATGAGCGCTGGCCGAGACCTCGCTAACATATTATGTCGTATTATACCTAGCACGATAACCGGAGGCGATAACCTGCACAACGATTGTCCGCTGAGGAGCTACGAAAAGAGCGACAGTGGTGGCGAAACTCGTGAGACACGACGTCTAGAATGTTGGGAACAAAACACTGCACGCTATAACCGACGAGATGCCGCGGTAACGCGACCAATAGTCATGATACGCGAGTACCTAGATACGACACGTCCGTCTACCACTCTCACGAGACGCAGCCAATCGCTGCGAAGACCAATCAACGCCAGCGATTGACGACTGCGTTCGCGTTTGCATCTTCTGATTGGTCGCGAGCGTTAAGGTTCTTGTAGCACACGGAACCACCAATCAGCCCGCGACCAATCAAAAGAGGAAGTCACGTGATAAAGTTTGCCACTCTCTACGCGACTCTCTAGTCTCGACTAATGAGCATGTTATACGAAGCAATATGGCTACTCTATGCTAAATGCTTATTGGTCTAGACAGTTTTATGCTATGGATATGCGGTTATGCAAATCTGGATAAGCCCTAAATATAGGAACACGTGGGCTGCGTTCCGAAATTCACTGCCAGTACTGAAATTCTATAATATACGTAACATAAACTATAGATTTTCAGTACTGGCAGTGCATTTCGAAACGCAGCCGTGGTCTGTTCTTTTCAGCTAACTGCTGTAACTAGTGTAATATATTGTAGTGAGACAAATGCACATTTTCTCACTCTAACTTATTGCAGTTCAGCAGTGCAGCTACAAAGAACAGGCCTTTATATACATGCTTGCTTTATTAAGTTCCGATTTAACCGCCGGCACGATAAGACGTATCTGAACAAGTTCAGACCAGTGATTTTTGGAAGTTGCCTTGAAACCTGCCAAGGCCTTATTCATACATATCTCATTAGAATGGTGTTGGGGAAAAATCGTAGGATTATCTGGAACCAATATTGAGAAAGAGAGAGAGAGAGCTTGCTTTATTGGCGTACACGTGGTTAACCATTTAAAACGTTTTTATTTAGTTAGTGCGTATATTTGTTAAAATACATGCATTTTAATTTTTAAGCAAACACAATGCCGAAAGTTCGCACACAAGTTACAGCTCGTGTCCATAAAGAAGTAGCGAGACAAGGTTAGAATTTATTTATAGGTTAACTCAAATATGAACACCACTCATACATAAAAATTTTATACGAAAGATGTTTGCTTCTTAATTTGCTCTTTCTTTTTATAACGCAGGGATCTTGTTCAATAAGGATTTTGGCCAGCATATTTTGAAGAATCCTTTAATTATACAAAATATGGTTGAGAAAGCTGCTCTCAGACCAACTGATGTTGTAATGGAGATTGGTCCTGGTACAGGCAACATGACAGTAAAATTACTGGAAAAGGCGAAAAAAGTTATAGCGTATGAAGTCGATACGAGATTGGTAGCGGAATTACAAAAACGTGTTCAAGGAACAATATATCAACCAAAATTACATATAGTTATCGGAGATATACTGAAAGCAGATTTACCTTTTTTTGACTTGTGTGTCGCTAATATACCATACCAAATATCATCGCCATTAGTGTTTAAATTACTTTTACACAGACCACTGTTCAGGTAATTGCAAATTCATGTAAAAGTTCAAAAGTAATATTAGTATCATTAGTACTTGATATAATCATTTTTTAGTTGTCCTTTGTTAACGTTAACTACTAAACTAAATTAAATAAACTTTTACAATATATAACAGGTTTATTGAAACAATTTTAAATGCAGCTTCGCGAATTATTAATAAGAAAAGCTGACATTGATATTTTTCACAGATGTGCTGTACTCATGTTCCAAAGAGAATTTGCAGAGCGTTTGGTGGCCAAACCTGGTGACAAGTTGTATTGTCGCTTAAGCATCAACACACAATTATTAGCACGAGTAGATATGCTGATGAAAGTCGGAAAGAATAACTTCAGACCTCCACCCAAAGTAGAATCAAATGTAGTGAGGATTGAGCCGAGAAATCCACCACCACCAGTTAATTATCAAGAATGGGACAGTTTGACCAGAATTGCGTTTCTAAGAAAAAATAAAACTCTTTCTGCAGCCTTTAAGCAAACCACAGTCATCACTATGTTGGAAAAAAATTACAGGATCCATTGTTCTTTGAATAACAAGGTGAGTTTGATTTGCTATGAAAATTGGGATTGCAATACGAAATGCAAACTTAAACGTCTACTATTATTAATGATGACTGATCAACTGATACAGATTATTCCGAGCGATTTTGATATCAAGAAATTGATACACTGTGTCTTGGAGAAAGTAGGAGCCAAGAACAAACGAGCTAGGACCATGGACACAGATGATTTTATCAGGTATGAAGAAACTCGTGTCAATTGCGTTTCTCATGCGTTGTACATCGATTTTGTATAGTAGATCTTACATAATTAATTAATATTACAATGTAATAGCTCGACAAAGTCTGTAAGAACCAGGGTGGAAATTAATAAAAATGTTTTTTTTTTTTTCAGCCTCTTGCATATATTCAACGCGGAAGGTGTACATTTTGCATAATTTATGATATTAGGCTATTATATATTACAATTCGTTAAATTTAGAATTTTTTATAGAACAAATATACAAATATATTTTATTAAAACAAATTTACTATTTTATTTAAAACAACTGGATGTTATACATACCGAGGCCATTTAAATGATCGTTTATTTAAGATCAATTACATTATAGTTCTAGATCATATATAAAAAAAATCGAGAACTCTTCTACGAGACTCCCACATCGCGTATAATATTAATTTTACACTATGCACATATATATAATTCAAACGTTAATATATATTATTAATGTAAATTTTATTACATTACTGACAATCCACAAATCGAGGACTACATTTTAGACGGATACCATTTTGATTATGGACATTTGATTACACCGTACCATTTCTCAATATTACAACTTCATCTCGGTCTCCTAATCTATATTCTTAAAAATGTATATATTAATGAGATGCTGTTGTTAATATTTTGCTTATTTACTTTTTACCAATGTGACGACTGTTAACTTATATCGCTACATTATGTAAAAAAACATCTACTTGCTACTTTGTATAACTTGCTTCAATATGATAAAGGGGAGTGGTGTGAATAGTTACTTTTTCAGGCCAAACTCGAAGACACTACACAATTGCCGGTAAAACTGCTACCGATACAATAAAAATTAATAAGAGACATGATAAATAAAAGAATAACCATTCAAGTGCGTTACACTTCAATACATGATTGAACAATCTGATAATATAAATTACATATGAAGAGATGCGATTAAATGACTGTCTCACTAAGACTGAAGTTGCAGGTCAAGTTACATTACAAGCTATGTCGAAGTGACGTATGCACTATGCCGGCTGCTCGTTCTCCGGTAAGTCTAGAATCTCTCCGACAAATTCTGCCACATTTATATCTTTCTGAGCGTGTTCTGTGATAAAGCTGAGTTCCAGTAATTGACTGTAGTTTGGACGGGCAGTGTAGTCCTTCATTAAACTGGAAGCGAAACACAGATGTATGAATAAACGTCGTTCGAGAGATTTACAAGTGATAAGAGATAACTTTGCCGCGTATGTTGCGCCATTTACCACTTATTAATAAATTCCTCGAACGAAGAGGAGAATTTCTCGGCAGGTAACTTTGGAGCTTCGTCCTTCACCACTTGTTTCAGTTGCTCGAACGGCGTGCCCCACGACTCGTACGGAAATTTACCCGTGGCTAATTCAACGAAGGAAATCCCTAACGACCAGACGTCTGATCTAATGTCGTACTGCGACGGGTTACCCGATGGATCTATCCTTTCTGGCTACAAAAAAAAGAGACAATAGTGGGGAACGTATTGATGAGGTACACGTATTGTTATTTCCGTAATGACAATTATACGATTACGTACAGCCATGTATGGTTTACACCCGGCATCGATGGTCTTGGCGACCGAGTCCACGAGGTAACCGGATATACCAAAGTCACAAATTTTCACTTCACCTTTTCGATTGATTAGTATATTACTAGGCTTAACGTCCCTGTGAATCACCCGTAATTGTGAATAGAGGTAATGCAATGCGCTTACTACCTGTAAATATTAATACACAATAATGATATTAATAAAATAATAAAATTTCATACATCAGAGAATATGCAAAAATCTTAAGCAAACAAAACCAAATAAACACATCAATATGCAGTATTAAATAAATATTTAAATGCACACATACTGCAAAAGCCACTTTTCCTAAAATATCCTCAGGAATGGCACGGCCATGTTTGTAAACTTTTGTATAAAATTTATCAAGGCTCATATCCATCACTTCCATGCATATCCATACATCTCCTTCGCGAAATAAGGCTCCATAAAATTGTACTGTATAAGAACATGCTGAACTACGCATAGAAATATCTAAGTCCATAAGTAGCCGCTTTTGCTCTTGTGTATTAACTGTGGCAGTTATTCTCTATAAGCAGTAATCATTTATATGTAGATATAATTATACCATGTTGTATCAAGATATAACATATTTCAGATCATTTTATATGGAATAGTAGTACCTTCACTGCCATAATTGTGCCACTTTGCTTGTGTCGCATCTTGTCAACAATCCCATATGCTCCACGACCAAGTACACAAAGCGTTTCCAAATCGTCAGCTTCCACAACAAACGTTTTATCATCTATAGTAATAGTAGTCCGTTTGTCTAAATTCCTTGGCGGTGTCCTGAAATAGAATACCCACAAAACGTAAGAAACCAATGTACACATCTTCTCTTGAATGGGCAAGATGTATCATAGGTATGCATTGGTCTTACTCCTTGGAAGATTATATGTATCTTTGATTCTCTACAAAGCGTACATACATAACATACAATACACTGTGACAGTGTCCAAGGAAGTTGTCATCGCTTCTATACATACACTGTCACGGGTGCTTCGTCGGAAACGTTGATTCTGAGGTCCCGCCTTCCACGACGTGACAGAGCCATGGTGTTAGGTTGCGACAAATGAGGCCGCGTCGACCGCGCGAGTTCGATAGCGCGTTCGGGGACTTAAGGGAAACTCATGGTCGATCGTGCAGCAGAACGCAACGTATACACAATCTGAAAAGGCAAGATGAAACTGAATTTTATGGACGGCGCGTCGTAGCGCGAAAGTGTCGCGCGCGCGCGCGCGCGCGTGCAGGAGAAAGACAGAAAGATGGTTAGGTTATTTTGCGGAAAAATTTGTGCCGCGCGCGTACGCGTACGTCGCGAAACCGCGTCCCTCTCGGCGTTCCCGCACCACGAATCGATGGGTATCACGTACTCTGCGAAGAGCATCACGCTGCCCCAACGGAATCGCGCGAGAACTCTCCGTATCTCCGCAGCACTTTGTTGCCCATATATGAAGTTTTTAACAAACTCAAACAACCGCCTGAAGTTGGTCGCGCGAAAACCGCACAGATCGATTCCGTTAGATTCGAAAGTTGTACCCTAGGGACAGTCACCAAAATAGTTGGGACATTTTTAACAAGGAATATCGTTGTTTTATTGGCTACGTGTTATCTTAAGATGACGGATCATCAGCCAATAAATCCCGACCTACGGATGCGTTCAGATTCCCTACCCGGGTGCACTCTATTACTAGAAACACTATAGTATATGTTACATATACTATAGCACTTCTAGTATTAGAGTGCACCCGGGTAGGGAATCTGAACGTACCCTACAATAGATGTAGTAAGCTTTAAGCCTTAAGAAATTGACCAATCGCAGTCAAATTTGAGGAGAATAATCGACTGGTCAATTTCTTACGGCTTAAATTATGGCTCGGGACTAAAACGATTTTATTAGCATGTTCGACTGGTTCTGGGTTAACCCACTCTGGGTTATTCAGCCTACATTTATTGGTGGAACAAGTACTTATAAGCTTTATGATTGGCTAGTAGAGACTTATGACGTCATTAATCGCTTTCGGAGCGATTAACCCAAGGCCAGTCGAACACGCTATATTTCTTGCTGAAGAGCAACCTTTAGTGCATTTCCATTTAGCGCGTCACGCGTCGCGTCGTCCGTCGCAGCCAATCAAATCGTCCCATTGTATTGCCTAACTTTACGATGAATAAAATAGGACGATTTGACTGGTCCGTGAAAGGCTGCATTCCGAAATTCACTGTCAGTACTGAAATTCTATAGTATACGTAACATGAATTATAGATTTTCAGTACTCGCAGTGAATTTCGAAATGCAGCCAAAGAGACGTGACGCGTGACGCGCTAAGTGGGAACGCACCCTTATTTCAAACGTAGAAAACGTAGTAAGTAATTAGGAGAAGCTTTAGGCGCACTTTTAAATTCGCGTAATATTTATAATAATCAGAAATTATGTTTGAAACAAACAAAAAAGTAAATTTGAAGCCGATTAAGTTAAAAATACACCAACAATCCCCTTTTATCATCCAAGTCATATAGATTAACAGTACGTAAAAAATATTGTATGAAGAAAAGTAAAAAATTTGTTTTTATGTGAAACGATATATATAAAGTTTGTTCTTTCCAGCTGAACTTCTTGCACTAGTTCAAGAAGTGTATACTGGTGCGTTCTTTCTAGCAGACGTCAGACGTTCGAGTGACGTCAGAGGTTACTGTTTTTTCCAATGGTGCAGCAGAACTTAGGCCTAGTTCCACACCTCCAGTTAACTTAACTGACCGGTTATTCCATTGGACTTGACCAATCGCATTTAGCGTTAAGAAGAGTTAATCAGAATAAACCAATCACTGTTGAGACTTAACCAGTAGTTTAAATTAAACGGATGTTGTGGAACTTGGCCTTAGTAACGGTAGTATACGGCTAACCAATATATATCACTATTTATTCAGTGTTACTAATTCACAGAAATTTAATTTGAGTTACCTAAGGGTTTTCGCTGGTACCAACGCTATCCCCTCCCTTTTTATGGATTTTATCGTGTAAACTTTTTAATTGTTGAAGAACCAAAGTTTTATACAAACATTACTTTTGTTAGTAATTCCATTATTATTATTTCGTCTTTATTGTTAGCCTTTTTCTTTTGTTGTTCCATCGCTTTCTTCTGCATCTCTAATGCAGCCTAATGTTAGCCTATGGCCGCGTTCCGTTTCATGCAATGCACACATTTATCTATAGTTCGTGTTACGTATATTGTAGGCAATGCGCGCATAATGCGTGAAACCAAACGCAACCTTTTATTTACAGCAAATGTTTCTTCCATTTTTCTTTTGAAAATGATCTCTTGTTTATTGTGTTGCATTTTTAAGTACATCATTTCGTAAGAACACTTACGATCCTGAGTTTTCAATCTATTGATCTCCTTTTCCTTGGACTGTTTCCACTTTGAAAAATTATTCGCGTCGTTGCGCATCTGCCTGATGAGCTTGACTCTGGTTTCTCTTAACGACCGTATTTCAGTAGAAAGAGTTTTTACTTTTTGATCCTGCTTCTCTTTCGCCTGAATGATTTTATTCCGCTCCTGACATTTACGTGTCAACTCTCTGCTATTTTCTTTTCTAGCTCTTGCACTCTCTTATGACGCGTCCCAGCCAATTTGGAAGTAATGTTGCATGCGTACTGCGCAAATGTTCCTTCTCTTTCCGCATGCACTCTCTCAATTTCTTCTTCCATTTCCATCTCCGTGGCTTTCCGTAGTTTATTGAGGAATACTTTTCATCAGTTTGGATACAAGAATCTCCTTGAATGCTAGCTCCTTATTGATATTTTGAACTTCATTATTTCGAAATAATTCAGAAGCATCATCACTGAATTGCGAAATAACATTACCTAAGGCGAGCATCCTTTGTTTATATTTATATCTTCTTTAAATCTTTCCCCTGTGGCTTGAGTCTTCTTACTGCGTTCAGATCCTGCTAAATCAAGATGAAACTTTGCTATTGTTGCTATATTTGGGTCATCTGCTGATGAATACAGATAGTAAATATCGCATGGCTACGGCTACTATATGCATTCATTGCAGTTGCTCCAGTTACGCGGCCTATAGAAACCTTGGCTCCAACATTCCAATGTTTCTTGGGCATTAGTAACTTCTTTCTTCATTACACCGATGATTTTTATGCTTTTTCTATCTTTTCTGATGTCTACAATAGACTGACTTCTTTGCTTATCAGACCATAGGAGGAGGGCGTACTAGGTGGGGCGGCGGGACGCCGTGCGTTCGAGATCTGTGTATTTTTTCGCTCCAAAGAGAGAATAATATCGAGAGCGCGGGTTTTGCTAGGCCGGGACTCGAACCTGAGTCTTTCGCTTGCCGGGCGACTGTTCTAAGCCACTGAGCTACCTGACGCTCTATGCTCACGACATTCTCCTCTTCCTAGATAACGCTCAGAGATGCTGTTCGGAAACGACATCTCCGGCGCGATCCCGAGCGCACGACGACTACAGAGAGAAACAATTGGTCTGTTCTTTTTAACTGCACTGCTGAACTAGTGCAATAAGTTAAAATGAGATAAATATACTTTTTCTCACTCTAACCTATTGCATCAGTTCAGCAGTGCAGTTGAAAAGAACAGACCAGATGGTACAGCTGTCAGTCGCTCAAAATCAGTTTAGGTGGAGTAATGGCGTAGAGGCACTCATAGTAAAAGTGTGCTCAGCCAAGCATTGAAACTGAAACTGAAACTCTCAAAATCAGTTTCTGTTTACTAGTGCTATTGAGCCTGTTCTTTGTAGCTGCACTGCTGAACTGGTGCAATAAGTTAGAGTGAGACAAATATATTTTATTTCACTTTAGCTTATTGCACCAGTGTAGCAGTGCAGTTGAAAAGAACAGATCACAGATCAATCCCTAATTTTTGTTATCAGCAATGTTATTAAAAGTTATCAGTTAAGTGTATGTTATATAATCACCAGTTTTTCAGTTCAAGCAAAAGAACCTTTCTTCTTAAAGTTGAGATTGTCTTGTTTTTGCCTACATAACGATTAATCGTGTACTTACCGTCCTAATTCTCTTTAAACATTCTTCATACAAAATTAATAATCATGACGAATCAAACTATAAGCGATTATTATACGAATCTACAATATGATGAATTCAACGAAACCGTAAGTACACATGTATTATACAAATATATATGTATATAAATATATTGTTTAAAAGTTTAATTTTTATGTTTCAAATGAAAAGCTTGATTATTTTCAATGACATGAAATATCACATGTATATAATTTTTTAGGAAGCAATAATAAAACTATTCGATTTATCCGATTATCCAATTTGCCAAACTTTTTCAAAACCCGATTTTTCATCAAGGTAAATTAATATTTAATATCAAAGATATAAAAATTGCTTTAAATTATTTTTAATACATTTTGTTTACATTTATAGATTGATTAAAGCAGCAAATATAATAAAAAAGAATTTGCCCCTTTTCCAGTCTTTTTGTGAACATGTAGATATAGTTACTGCTATTATTGAATATTTAAGAACTTATGGTATAAAATTTATGCTTCGTAATGGTAGGTACAAAATATTATATTAGGTTTTATTGTATTATGAAGATGTCATGTTATATGTTGCTTACTTTTTAATATTTTATTTATTTAATATTATTTTATTTAAGAATATGACATATATAGCATTGTGTTAAACTGTTTATGTAGAAAATTTATTGACCATTTTTTTTTAGAAAAAAGAGAGGAAAAATTAATATTAATATTAAGTACACTTCTTGATATATGTGTCGAAAATAATGTGCGATTATTCCTATCGAAGATTCTCTTGTAATTATCTACAAATATATTAATATGTATATATATAATATAATGTATTAATATATATATGTATGTATGTGTGTGTATAATATATAAATATGCATTCTTGTTAATATGAATTATATTAATATGAATTTTTTTTTAATTTTAAATATAATATTTTAAAATCAATATTATCATTAATTTTATAGATATATTATTTTTATAATTTTTAGAGAAATTCCCGACCTGGAGAGTTTTGAGAAAAAAATATATAATCAAGCTTTACGTAAGAAAAACTTATATATTTATAATTCCTTACAAAAAACATGCAATGACAATTTTTTTTATATTCTGTAATCAAAATCTTTTAAATTTTTACAGCTCAGTACAATGAAGCAATAATTTTTGAAGATTCCGATTTTCACCTAGTTATTAAAGCATTAAAAAAACATGATTTTAATGTAATCTGGATTCAGGAAGCATTAGCAGCAAAAATTTTCCCATCTATAAGCAAATCCTTACATCAATTCATTCGTATATTTCGATCAAAGCAGGAGTTACTTGATTCCACTGTTTCAAATGTGCGAAGTATAACATCTATATGGTCAGAAGATATTATAGCTGCAAAGGATTTAGCAGCATCTTTAAATGTATATCACATGTATAATATTAAACACATAATATTATTAATTTGTTTCAAGCATTATTAAAATGATTCTTGTTTTTATCATTCAGAGAAATGTTATATTTATTAACACATTTATGGATATGTGTGGTGGTATCGTATCTTTTCCACGTATAAAAAAATTGAATGAATGTTTTATATTATTACAAAATAAGCCTGCAAATGCAATGATACCAGATGCATCTACACAAGTATTGTACAACCTATTTTATGATGGCATGTGGCAAAAACCAGTGAAAAATACATATTGGTTAAGTGAGGATCATCTATTGGCAAATGCAACTGGGTATGAGAATTCATATATTTTTCTTGATTCTTCTAACCATATATATAATTTCAAAATATATTTAAAGAATTCACATATTGAATTTGGAATTGACTTATTGTTATTACAGTGATGATATTAAAAAATGTCTTGATGCAGCTAAAAAAGGAGCTAAAATTTGGGATGCTATATCTATTGATTCTAGAATAACAATTTTATCTAAATTGGCAGACATATTAAAACACAATAAGTATGTTAAGTAATTAAAAAGTTTGTATATTCTATGACTTGTATATGTTTCATGACTTGTATATGTTTCATGATTTTGCTGATTATCAATTGTTTTTCTTTCAGTAAATGTGAACTGGCACAAGTGATATCAAAATGGATATTAATTTCACATTTCTATGAAAATTCAATAAGTCTATGTTCTCAAAATGGAAGATTAGAAATAACAGTAAAGCATAAGCCAAGTGGTATTGTCGCTCTTAAGGGGGAAGATTTAAACAGTTTGTTTTACCAGTTGACAATAGCTTTAATGGCTGGCAATTCTACTATTATGTTATGTAATTCAGTGAATTATAGTCTGGCACCATACTGTGATATGTTTTCAACAGCAGGGATACCTCCAGGTGTCATAAATATGTTATCAATTGAAAATGTGGAAAACGTTTTACAGGATTATTATATTAATGAATATGATTTAAAATCACAAAATAATCCATATACAATGCTGACTAAAGCTAAAATAATTGTACTACCTGTTAAATAATTTCAATAATCTATAACAATTTAATGTTTCTACATACATACACACACAGATGATGCAAACAATATATCCATATACTTATTTTAATATTACAATTATAGTAGGATGTTTTTTGTCATATATCAATCTATGATGTAAAAAAACTGATAATTAAATAACAGTATCGCAACATATTCTGACTTATAGTTATAAAAAATTCACAATATATCTTGCATGTTATTTTATAACTGCATACAAATAGTTACAGAATTTAATCATTGTTTTAATATCACATCATACTTCAGTAATATTTTACATTTTTATTAGCAAATTATTCATATCTTTAAATAATTAATATGTCATTTTTTCTATATATTGTATCTCAGTAATTAAGAAAATAATATATATTTTTTATAAAGCTCTTTCGTCGCGAGTTGTACTATACATTTGTTACATTGGCAATTTTATTTATTGTAAAAATGGTATACGGAGGACTGCTTGAAATATATGTTTATATGTAATAAAGAATGTTTATAAATATATGTATACAGAAATATATCTTATAAAACTTATATTTGTGAATAAACATATATCTTTTGTTTTTTGTACTAACAAAATCACATGTATAAAAAATAATATAATTAAATATATATATATATTTTATATATATATATATATATTTTATATATATATATATATATATATATATATATATATGTATGTATGTATAATTATGTCAACATATATACATATATATATCACAATTCTATAAGGAATGTATCAATTGGAACATACAATGATTTGTATTTGTTGAAACTTAAATGTTTCTTTTGCGAATAAAGCATAATAAATAAAGTATAATATTAACATTATGTGTTATGTAAGTATGAATTCTTGGCACTGCTATGGTAGACTTTAAGTCGTTTGCGAATAATTCATAATTATTTGTACGGAATGTTTCATGTTAGAACAATAGCTTACGTAATATAAACAATGAACTTTCGTTTACGTTCACAACAAAGTTTGGCATTTTTATCAATTTGTACCCTGTATGATTTGTCATGTAATGAATCTGTCTCGATATTTTCTTTCAATAAATTTGTGCTCTTAAGGGGATGTTAGATATCGATATAAACACGTTAACGAAAATTTTTTAAATAAATATTTTGTTTTTGATGCAAAATTTACCCTTATACTCTTATATGCATTGATATATTTGTATTCTATAAAAATATTTGCAATTTTATGTAACTAAAGAGAATAACAGTACAAACTACGAAATTGCATCATATCCGGTATCCTCTTAAGAATTCAAATTCCAGGACCGGTTTCAAGTTTATATCGACTGTTTTATAAATTGTGGATAGAACCCAAAATTTGTTCTAAGTTGTTCAAGAAATACGAATGTGAGAATAGTTTGCGGCGCTAACCGGATAAATGCAGGTACATAGCCCTGAAAAAGAAATAATTATTTATTAGTATTAACACACACACACACATATATTTAGAGATATACTCTTTTAGATTATACTTACTTTGAAGAAAGCCAGTGGTCCAAGTTTGGCAGTATACAGGAAGATCTCCAGCAAATTCTGTGTACAAAAAAGATGATTGTATCACAGTGAATTATGTGATAAAATTTATCGTAAGTACACTTACTTTAAATTCACCAGGCTTAGCATTCATTGCTCGCGTCTTCAGGACATCTAAAGGTTGCGTAAGTGTTGTTGCAATAGCTCCCTGTTAGTACAAATATAAATAAAATAATTTTGTTTCAAGTACAAAAATAATAGGATATTTTAGTCTCGATATTCGCGGACTTACAGCCGATACACTAGATAAAATATGCGTTGCAGGATTATCTTGAAAATAGCCGCTTTGCAATAACATCATTTTTATTTGGTCATAAAAGCTCAGTTGCCCGATAGTCATTAGCGATGCTCTCATGGTCGCGGTGGAACACCCGCTAAATAACTGGCGAAGTCCTTCTTGTTGGCTTACACGTAATAGTCCATCCAAAGCATGTTTATAGCTGTGTAAAAGAGCGAGATACATGTTATATATCCATGAAATATACACATATAGAAACGTTTGAATTCTTACTTTCTTCTTAGTTCTGGCGCTAATTTGATATCATTCTGCATCCGTACGTTAATTACATCACCAGGTGTCCCGAAAACACCACCTGTAGCACCAGAAACTCCAGCCAGAAGTAGCTTTTGATAGAAAGGTAATGAATATCCAGGTGCTTCAAGTGTCTGTTTACCAACCTATTATATTCAACAATATGATCCATGTATAATGTGAATACAGAAGATTATATATATATATGTATATATATAAAATAATTCCTGATATACAAACCTCGTATGCCCCAAATCTTATTGTAGAATATGTAAGTTGGCGAAGTAGAGAAGCACTGAGTCCATTGTATAAAGCTAATATTCCTTGTTTTTGAATTATTCCTATAGTTGAACGTACTATTGATATTTTTCCTTCTTGTTGAGTTTGTAGGTGAACCTAAAGATTCAATTTTTATTTATTTATTAATTTACAAATGCCACAATGTTTTGCAGTATATCTAAGCTAATATGGAAAGAGAACCTTAAGTAGATCTAATGGATGAGTCACGCATGCAGCAGCTGCAGAAGAAACTCCACCAAAGTACCAACGTGATAATTTCTTGCTTTTGTCAGTCATTGTCATTATTTTGCATCAAACATAAATCACGGACATATCTATGGTACTTCAAACACAACAACTAGTTAAGTATTTATAGATAGGTATTTATGGGTATGTTTATAAAATATATAATTTATTTAAATTTTACCTTCTTCTCTCTCTCTTTTTTATTGGTAACAATAACTGTTAATATATCTGGTCATTATACAAGATAATATATAACAGCTCTTTCTTCAATTGCCTTTAAAACATCAGTTTTGTATAAGATGATAAAGTTAGACAATTTTATTATATAAAAATTAATTATATAATGTATAAGTTGTATATACTCTTAAATAGTGAAATTCTTCCACAAAATATGTAACAAATATTATATTATATTTTAATATAGTATGAATAATTTTAATACAATATAAATATTATATTATATTTTAATATTGCCTTGAAAAAAATGTCGAAAATTTTGCTTTCGTAAAAGGCTTGCATAAATCCACGCTATTTCGTTGAATTAAACCGGAACTTGACTCAATAAAGTTATCCGCAAACTGTGCTAAAATTAAATTTTACAGAAGCAGTGACCTTGTGCGATATTGATACATAAATTTCCGAAGTAGTCACGAGCTGTACGATTCATTCTTTTTTTTCTTGTTTTTTTACGAACGACCCGAATAAGTGAGGCTTTCACTGTAATTGTGACACTGGATTTTCATTAACGGAATGAGAATGAGTCGACAGGAAGAAGTAAAAGAGTTCGCGGTCACTCGACTATCCGCTCCCACCAACCGAGCCGATTTATAATCAAGGTAAATTCAAGCGCTGTTCACGGTCGGATGTAAATTAGATCAGCATGTCACTTGTCATCCGCTGTATATATATATATACTATATATAACACATCCATTAATTAAGACTATTTTTATCTTAGCGATTTCTGAAAATCATTCCCGACAATCGTCAACAAATTCTTCGATTTTCGGTTCTGTTATACGCGCCTGATACTCGACGAGCGTACTAGGACGTTATCGTGTATTAACACAAAAAAATAACTCACACGTGGTGTGTGTCCTGCCCCAATGGCGCGACCTCACCATTAACATCAACACTCCAGCCAGGACAACAGCTGGAATCCGACTGAAATAGGCAATCGCTCCTCCGGAACGGATTGCCGCGTCGTGCGCGCGCATCAGCTAACGTCCACGTGAAACCCAGCGCTCGTCCCCGGAGAGCCTTGGCCAGCCTTTTTATCGCCTGTACTCCCGTTATCGGTTGACGTGGAGACACACAACTGTACATTTACACAGTAAGTTTAATCAAGATTAACACATGATCACGAGACGTGAATTTGCTAACCGAGATGCAAGGTCGAGTGGTTTCACTGCGCTTTGTACGAACCGATAATTTGAATAGATTTTTCATAGTTTCGTGTCCGAATCCAAAGAAAATCACTTGAAATTATAGTTAATACTTATTCTGTTTTATTATATCAGCAATATTCTTATGCAAAAATACATATAACGTGCGCGAAATTCCCAAGCGATAAAATTTGGAAATTTTTAATTTCAAATCTAATGAGAAGTTAGTTGTATGTTTAATTCAAAAATAAGTGATTTACAATGTATCGATAATTCTTTTATGATATATCGATAATGTCGATTATACTCGACTTATCGATTATACCCAACGATTTTAGTATCGTTTCGATTCAAAACTTTGGCACTAATTCTCGTTTAAACGGTGCTGCTATTGGCAGACTGACGCGTGGGACATAACTATTTATTAGAGATTGGAGATTAGTGCTGCTGTTGAAAGGTAAATTAATTAAACACGATATAATTTTACTGTCATATGTTATGTAGTTAAGTGCTGTTGTAACATTAAACAAATCTACTTAAGCTTGAGGTATATTTAGTTCTTATGCTTATACGCCACTGCATTTCGCGCGCTTTATAGGTTATAAAGAAGTACATTGAATCTTTAGTGTTATAATTTTGTAGCCTGTCAGGTTAGAGATTTATTATTGATTAGTAGCAAATATTGTTGATTTACCTGCAAGATATATTGCAATATTGTGTATTTTCAGTTTATCATGGCTAGATGCACGATGGAGATGGTGTACAACATTCTTGGAATTGACAGAGTAAATATGGATGGCAAAATGGTTTTGATCGAGGAGCAACATGGTACCAACGCAAACTTTTTGGTGAACGCCGTATTGTCAGACGCGTTGAAGAAGGGGAATGCTGCTTGTCTCGTTCATTGTCACAATACTTTTGGTCACTATCATAATGTCGGTATAAGATTTGGTTATAATCTTTTGTCACTGAAAGCAAAGGGTCAGGTTACTGTTGTGGAGCCAATGAAAATTGTAGCTAGTAATGTTGTTGATATATGTAAAAATTCTATAGATAATGAAAAAATAATTGCGGATATTATTTCTCGTGAACATATAGATATTGCGCATAGACTTTTTACATGTATCAGAGAACGGTACGAAGAAGCAGCTAAATTTAATGCATCTGTAGTTCTTGTGATCGATGATATAAGTCATCTTCTTGATTTAGGCCTTAGTGTACGTGATATTATGTATTTAATAAGATATTTAAGGTCGTTTATGGCATCATATAGTAAATCACAGCTTTGTATTCTTACACATACTTATCAAGAAGATCCAAAGATCTCAGATGCAGACATGGTTGCTAATTGCTTGAAGCATATGGCACATTTATGTGTCACAACTGAACCACTTATAACAGGTTATTCTGGTGATGCATCTGGTAGATTAACTATTTGTTGGAGAATAGATAGCATTAGGTCAAAATATCATTGGGCGGAGAAAATGACGTATTTATTTAAGCTGTTAGATTGGCAAGTAAAAGTCTATGCACCTGGTGAAACGTCTGTTTTATCATAAACAATTTAATAAAATAATTGTATAAGTGTATTGTAATTTTTGCATATGATTTTTATATTGTAGTTTTGTATGTATATAATTAAGGACATATACAAAGAATTTATCATAATTTAACATAAAATAATTTGTACTTATTTTATGTCAACTTATGGTAAATGTATTATTCTATTTGTGCGCTAAGGATGTTTTGTTATTAGTGAATAAACCTTTTGGTTGACTCTTTTAGGGTTGAATTTATTTCTAAAGTAAGAAAGAGTTTTACCAATAACAAAACACCCTGTATATCCCAAAAGGGATTCATGAGATAATATTTAGGCATACTTCACACACATTGCTATATTCAGTTTTTATTATGATTTATTACGCGTAGTCTCATATAATTTTAATTTATTCTTTTCACGAAAAGAGAGCGTTCCTTTATTTCCTGTAAATGGGTGTAAAACACAGTATTTACGAAAGTCCTGGTACTTTGAATTATTATAAATTCAGCGTTGAAGAATACGCGCTGGTTAAAAGAATATGGTCGGAAATCGAGATTAACCCTCAAAACCATGGAAGTGTCTACTTCAGAAGGTGCGTGATGTTAAAACAAAAATTTGCAAATAAAACTATTTTATCCATTAACGAAAAATAATTGAAACGTCGTTTAGAAATCTCGATCAAAGATTATAATATTACAGTAGTTTCAAGAAATTATGCAATTTCAGCTTTTGCGAAACCTACCCGCAGTACATAAAATTTTTCACACTGGAGCCTAAATTGCCCATGAACTTCGATATGCGTACTACTGAGAAATTTTCGAAGATCTTCGAAGCTATGGGATATCTTCTGCTAGATTTTAACAACAAGCCAAAACAATTAGACCGGTTTGTTGGTTATATAGCCATGGTGCATAAGGACATGCGATTGAACGAGCAAGACATGCATGTACGTAAAGTTTATTGTGTTTCATTTTTTTCAAAGATTCAAAAGAAATTTATAAATTCAGCAATTATCACGTTCTCCGAAGAATTCACTTTTATATGAAATTATAAAAAAGAACTATCTTAATTTGATTTTCCTTTATCTTTATATGTTTAGAGATTCATGTTATCATTATTGGATTACCTGTCGCAAACATATCCCAAGCTAATGACCGCACAATGTCGGGATGCAATGTCCAAATATATGGAAAGTATTGCAAAAGAGCTATCCAAGAAGATGGAGATTTTTCGCTGTTACGACATCGCACAATTGGACGTAATAAAGCAACCAAAAGTAAGAGATGCATAATTTAACCTCGAGACAATAGTATTCCGAGAACTTTACATTGCTACTCCTAGTCGAGGAAAGAAAGTCAAGATAATCGTCAATCTGAATTCGGTCGTGTTCCGCGATGTCGTATCGGAAGGTACACGGCCCAGATAGCACATTAAAAAAGAATTCTATCGTATGTCACCAACTCTGCGTTTATTTTTAGATGCAAAAAGAATTTTTTTCACTGAACTGAATTCTGAAAAATTCTTTTTGCATTTGAAAACGAACTCAGAATTGGTGACATATGACTGAATTCTTTTTGAATTCTTTGTGTTATCTGGGGGGAAATGAAACATTCTATTAAAAATATTATCCATGTACAAGTCTATATGTATTCTACGTTTACATTACATTTCTAACACGTAGGCACTCATATAAAAAGTAGTAGGAAGTAATTTGTCGAGTTAAGACGGTGTTTTAATTGATTTCAAAATAATCCTAAGGTCCAGACATCACGCGCGGATTATGTCAGGAATAAATTCATGATTTATTATATCCGCGAGTGAAGAACACGATTAACCCCGATCATTTTCTGCTCCGATAGCGCAGCTATTGTGGGGATGGTGCAAGCTTTTCGTTGATCCCTTGATATTCCGCAAGACTAAGTTCTACTGGAGCGAATGGAAGAAGCAGTGGGACGCGCGTCTGGACGAATGGGCGGCGCAGGATAATTCTGCTGCCTTGGATCCGACGTCGCAGATGAACGACGAGGACACCGTCGCGGCTTCGAAGGCCGACGACGATAACGAAGTCGAGGTCGGCATCCTACAGCAGCAGAGGGCATCCATGATAACGCGACGAACCGATTCGGATGTGTCCGCTTCTAGGCTCGCGGTAAGTTACCTTTCGCATATACGTAAAAATTACGTCGGCGTTATCCGCAATCAGCAGCAGTCTTCATACGTAATGCATTAGCTCCTAAAAAGCGCGCACACACACACGTATATACATCAAAAAGGATCTCGCACAATTCGACGAAACTACGCCGATGGTGTTAAACACGTCGACTTGTTGATACTTGTTATCGATTCTCGGATACGCGATCGCCGTTTCAATAATGAACAGACGGTGTTTATGTAGGTAACGGTCGATATTTACTGGCAATACTACTTTTCAGTTGTTGAGTATAAGCAAAACATCCGGGATCGATGCGATCAGACGTTCGCGAAGGCGCGGGGTCTATAGTAAAGTCGACGAATCCCGTCAGCGTTCGCGACGTGTTCGTTCCCCTCGAAAAGCCTCAGATGCCGCGAAGAACTCTCGCGAGAGGCATCGCATCATGACTCTCGTTCGCGACGTCTCCAAGCCTCAGGCCGACGCGACGGTATTGCGTAGACGTTTGCGCAGCAGTCGCATGGCCATCGACAGCGCGTTGATCAGCGGAAATACCACCGAAGAGGATGGCGAGCGGACGATGGCGTTCAGACGCACTCCTGAAATCGCTCCAGTTGGAAGCAGCGCCCAAGCCGCAGTGCCAAAGTCACGCAGAACCGCTCGTGAAAGACGACGGGAAAATTTCAACGTCCATCTGCAATAATGGGAGAAGATACGCATGATTACCGTACACTTTGGTTGCGTTTAACAGCTTCGGAACTAACTTTAAATGGAAGCATCAAATCAAAGTAGCTTCTGCCCGCGATAATACATCGAGTTGGGATAAGAACAGAAAATTCGTGACGTCCACTATACAGAACGCAGGCGCGTGAAATAAAGACATGCGGAAGTAATCTCTGGAGGATAGCTGTGAGGACTATTATTACGGCGCGATGCACTTTGTTCTATCTCATCCCGTTAGGTAATGGACGAGAGAAGGCGAATGACCAGAACGATGTTGGGAAAAATATTATCGTTCAGTATAGATGGAGAAAATGGATATTGACCGACCGATTGCTTTTCATAATATTACCACGTATAACAAGAGCAAGCTCTCGTAATTGGAAAGTTATAAAGAGGCACAGTTGGTCCAGGAAACCGATAGAATGAAAAATGTAATTAACCCATTAAAATCATAATTATTTCATTAAAGGTTCGACTTGTTTACGCTTCAAAGATTTTAGATCAGTACTTGACAACTATTTTTATGAGTAAAATTATATATATTAATCAAGTAATTTTCGCATATCATAAGTACTTTGGCTGTTAATGGGTTAACATTATATAGTACCAAGCAATCATGTTTAACTGTTTTCATTTTTTAAATTAATATTCTGTTTCTCGTGTAAAAGACAAGATTTTGAAGTTTCCTGATTTTTCATCAAATATCCTCCTTTGATGGAGCATTCAATCCTGTTGTTTTACACGAGGAACAAAACATTAATTCAAAAGTGAAAACTGTGAAAGATGATCGCTTGGTGTTTCCGATATTAAGATCATAGCGATCAAAGTAACAGACTGATAGAATTCTCACCTCAACTAGCTTTTCCGCGGTCGTCGATTCTTCGAAAAGCGGGATAGCGGTCGTCCCCGCCGTTGTTGTGCACAAATCGCACCGAATCGATGCTGTCGTCGCTCGCTATTCGACGTAATTTCTTGTCGCTGATTCAAAAGAAAAGCGGAAAACGCCGGTGAGTTCTGGCGTCGCGACGTAACGCGTCACAACTAGAGCACAGCTAAACGCGTCGTTCTCCAAGTGAACAAAGAGAGACGGTTTTACGTGCGTGGTGGATTTTCGAGTTCATGCATCCTGCGTATCGATCGTCATGTAAGCGGAATTTCCTTACTGGTTTCGCTGATTGACCGCCGAAATCGGTGGGAACAGCGCGGCTGGGGAAATTAGGGGCTGCACCAGCGGCCCCATCACGTGCTCCGCTTCGGACGGCTCTTGAATCGGCGGCAGCGGCGACTCCCAGTCGGAATCCGAGCTACGTTTTCAAAAAAGACTCTGTTAGCTTCATTGGTGACTGATTAATCTTCCCGGTGAACAATGACGCGATTTCACGGTGATTTCGCGACTGGACCGCGTGTTCGAACGACGCAACGCGGCCGCAGGTCGACCGCGGGGGAAAATCGATGACGCGTCTAGCGATCACGACGGACGATAAGCGGCCTCGACGATAACGGGGTCTCTGTTTTCACGCTTTCCGCAAAGTGATGCACATTCGCGCGTTCTCGGAATTCGCGTAAAGATCCGCGCGAGCGATCAGTCGCGCGCGACAGCGTGGCGGCGAATTCAAGCGTTTCGCAATTATTGTAATTGATTTCGCTGCACTTTCGTATCGCTCGTGTCGATCTGCACGGATAAATACGCGAGCTTCATCGTTAATGAGAAACGAATTATTCTCACGCGAGACACACAATTCAGCCACGCGCCACGGCTGAACAATCGATCCCACCCAGTGACGAGGGAAAAAAAAACATTCAATAATGAACCCTGGCGGAAGGGGAAAGATCGATCGATGACATTCAGTGTGATCGTGTATGCCGACGATGTATAATTGCCGACTTACCTGCTGGCTATCCTTATATCACTGTTGAGATTGTCATAACTCAGCCGACTGGATATAGGAGGTAGTTTCCCGTGGCCAAACGACGTGGTCGGCGACACGAGATCGCCGAGACTGCTATCAACGTATGTCGCAGCTTGAATTTCCTGCTGATACATGGCGTACAGGTTCTGCAGGTCGGGCGGGAGTGTCAAACGACCGTCTGTCGATCGAACATAATCTATTGAATATAAATATATTATAATCGTACACTCAGAGGAAAAGATACAGCGATGGCGATTTATACAGATGACGACTGTGCAAGTTTTGTGGGTGGTTATATAATACAGTTTATTAAGCTATACAGATTAATTCTACATACAAAACTCACGTATACTAAAAAGAAAAAAATATTTATTTCATAAGTACTATATATTTACTTATATTAGTATAAAATATTTTTTAAATAAGAGAATATACATCTTCTTAAAACCTCTCTTAGCTCTTCATGAAAGCAATTATTTATTTAAATAAAATAATTTAAGTAAGTATATTATTAGTACCTAGCAAACAAATATATTTCTTATTTTTTAGGTATTTTTTCCCTTAGTTGTCACCTATATAGTTGCTATCATTATGTCTTTTTCTCTGAGTGTAGAAGACGTTCGAAAGACATCTGTGAGATATTTTTTAGACACGTTTATTACGTGGCGACTTTGATCTCGAGGCTGTTACTGACCTTCCATGATTCGTCGTTGTCTGGTGATAATCTCGTCGGAGATCTGTCTCTGCCGGTCGTAGCGGAGCAACAGTAGCTCACGGCGTCTCAGCTCATGTTGTTTCACCAGTCTTTCGCTCTGCAGCATCATCTTGTCCGCCTCGAGCTCGTGAACACGCAACATCAGTGCCAACAGCTCGCGCTCCTCGTCCGAGTTGATGCGCGACGGTAATTCCTGAAGAAACACGTTCAACTTAGCTGTTCGATTTTCTTGACGGCACGACTCTATGGCAATTGTAATCATCAGAAAGGTTACGAAGTAACTCTCACGTCTTCGAGCATCGCGCTATTTTTTCGGCAGGCCTCGAGCTCCTTCTCCGCGGTGGCGCGCATCTCCGCGTATCTCTCTTGCTCCCTCGTGATCTCCGTCAGTTCTGTCCACGCTTGTTGCACCGCCACGTCGTCTTCCAGATCTGTATCTTCCAGGAGATCTAAGAGAGCGAACGTTAGAATACTGTAAATCGCGTCTCCAACTAGTAGTAGTTGGTATTCGTCGAGAATCCATTCTCGTGAACGTTCAACGATCGCTTCATACTCCTCAATCTCCATCATTGTCATCTCGACGCTTCACTCACCCACGTCATCCACCTCATCCACTTGGTAACCTGTGTCGGGACGTCGCGTGCTAGAATCCCGACTTTTCCCGTAGACTCTGTTATTCCGCGACTCCCAATGCGAGATTATGGAGTGCTGCTGTTCGGCCGCGATATTTAGACCCAGCAGATGACTGTCCAGTTCCATCAGCTTCCTCCTAGTTGCATGATCGGGTCAATTAGTATCGATTCGCTCAAAATAAGTCTCGAGCTACCATTTTACCTCTTCTCTCTTTTCATCCACCTACAGAACGTACCTTAAACGCATCTGCTCCTTAAAGGCGGAGACAATCTTCTCCCTCAACGACCTGAAATCATTGTTATGCGTGTCCGGCTCCTTCTCCTCCACCCTCTTTGGCCTGTCCTCCTTCATCTTGTTTCGCAGTCGAGAGATCTCGCTCTTCAAGTCACTGATTATATCGCGATACTGCGCGACGTGCTGCAGGTAACTGACGTCGAAGACGTTCCGCTCGACCTTGTTGGAGATCTTGTTGGCGCGATCCGCGTAGATCAGGGTGTTCTTGCTCTCATCCCGATGCACACTCGCCGGCGACACGTGCGCGATCATGACGGTGCGGCAATTGCCGCTGAGAGCATCCTTCAATAACCTGGTGAGTTTGGAATCGCGGTAATTCACGTATCGCGCGCCACCGGATAGAGCGTTGATGCAATTGCCCAACGCCAAGAGAGATCTGTTGATGTGCGCCCCTTCCTGTAGTCTCTTGCCTTTGTTCTGTAAGATTGATCGCTCGATTGGACGTCCAGTCGACGAGAAAGAGACGAGCTGATCGGGACCGTCTTACCTTGGTCTGTTTTGCTCGTTCAGATCCGGCGAGATCGATCATGAACAGCCTGCCTTGCTTTACTCGGTTCCGCAGACGTTGGTCACTATCCTGAATTGGCCGGGAGGATTGTCGCACCGTCACGCTCAAGAGAGCGTGGCTTCGCGACGAGGTTCTATTCGCTGCGGTCGGTTCCATCGTCCTCGCTTTGTTGCCTCGATGCAGCAGCTGCATCACCTGCAAATTCGTCGCCGTGATTGTCCGCTTTCTGCGACTCAATTCGTAAATCAAGATCATGCACCTGGCTTTTGTGAGTCAAACTGCTGTTAAAGAGCGTAATTTATTTTATTTGTTACGTTAACATAAGCTTGCATTAAATTATGTTAATGTATCTAATTAAATAAATTATGCTCTTTTAACAGCGATTTGACTCACACTGGCCAGTGGCGCAATCTTTATTGACTTTTTGGAGCCAGTTTTATTTTAACTCGCTTTTATTTAACAAAAAGTAAGTTGGAGTAATCGTCGTACTTCCTCGGTCGAGTTAGTGGAGACTTCCGTCAGTCCTGAGACCTGGACGTTGCGACCGCGAGTGTCGTCGCGTAAATCTAAGTATCCTGAGTTGGGATTGAGGAGATCGCGTATGTTCTCGTTGTAAATCTCCATGTATGACATTGTCACCTGTGACAACACGGAGGTTTATTTGATAAAAAGCATGTAAAGACTGCATGATGCGTGCAAACATAATATACGATGCACCTTAATGGAGTTTTATAAAAGGGAGAAAGAGATATTTGCAAGGGTAAGCCCTCGCTCGCGTGAGATACATTAATATATTTGTATGTTTCGTGACAGTTTAATAGCGGTGACGAAGCGCCGGTAGTAAACAGCTTCATTGCAAGTTCCGTGCACGCGAGATTCGCGACACCCGCAATTGATACAATTATTATATATGTGCGCACACTCTCAAGTGGAGTAATATATAGTGATTCTCGCCGCGTCAGCGGACTTAAATTTATGCAACTTGCAATATAACATATTTTCAGCCGTTAATGCAATTGCGGCTGGTTGTTAATCACGAAACACGTACACGCATATAACTCTCGCGATAAGAAACTCCATTCGCTGCATTTGAGGTTGAGGAGCAATTATTTACGACGCTTATTAGTTATTCTTATGAGCGACTATGACGAATGGTCGTCGCTTGATCTCGAGAATGATTTCATGAGGATACTCTGAAGGACTGAACTGAGGAAAAGGAAGGTCAAGAGCTGAACTGAGAACAAGGAAGAAGGACTGCCTTTCTTCACCCGCTTACCGTGAACTCCGTATTGTCCGGCAATTTTTTGGTGGCCAGGAAAATGTCGTTCAAGGCGCGCACCATGATTCCAGGATTCGACGATGTCCCTACCATCGTGTGCGTTTTCCCCGAGCCCGTCGCACCGTAGGCAAACACAGTGGCGTTGTAGCCGTTCAGGACGTCCTGCGCTAAGTTCTTCGTAGTGCCTTCGTAGACCTCCTCCTAAATGGAAACGTTGATGAATAATCAGTCCCGCGATATCCAAAATATCTCTTGCAATCGAGGTGAGAATGATCTTCTTTTCTTTGTTATCAATTTAGAGTTGATAATTGAATGCGATTTCCTCAATATGACTTATTATATTATGAGGACTTGCCTGAGTGGAATCCTCGCCGAAGACTACGTCGTAGAGGTATTGCCGTGGCACTGCACGCTTCTGCTTGTCGCCATCCTGGTCTTCCAACATCACCATCTGTCGATCAATGTCATCAATGTCATCAGCGTTTGAATTGTCCTCGATAAAAGCTAGTCAATAGGCCTGTTCTTTGTAGCTGCACTGCTGAACTAGTGCAATAAATTAGAGTGAGAAAACGTATATTTGTCTCACTTCAATATATCGCACCAGTTCGGCAATGCAGCTACAAAGAACAGACCTTAATTTAAGTCTATCTCGAGTCGAATTAGCGACCTCACCTTGTCGCTCATAGCATGCAAGGACCTGGTGCCAGTCTCATTAGATGCCAACGGTCGGATACGCACGGCGACCTAAACAAAACAAGGGCATAGACAATGACGATTATCTACGAACCGTTTGAGTGACTTATCAAATAAGAACTTTTTGTTATCTTTGTTCGTCGTCGATTTACAGTTAACAAAGCGATTGTCGAGCGCGATGACCTACGATCGATCAGCTTTTCGTCGAGTTCCACGAATGATCATCGAGAATGATTATCACCCGTGTGTATACCCATAGCGTGAGTCTCGGAAACTGACAACGCGACATTCTGGGTACTTTACTCGGCACTTTACTACGCTGTCGTAAAAGAAGGTAAAAACAGGGGGTGACAACACCTTCGCGTGTCCTGTCACATTGTCCAGCATTCACAAAAAATTTCAGAGCCTCGAAGTCGAACGGACGAACGTGGTTTCCTCTGTATTATCGATTTGCTTTGTTGGTTCGGAGTTCGGTTCGGTTGAACTTTACGAGACTCGAGCTTTCCTAACGAGGAATAAGCGACTTCCGACTCGACGCTGTTTATTCAAATTCTTCGTTTAATTTTTCCCCTCTTCCCTGTTGTTTCTCATAAGCTTTGAAGTGTCGCAAGTATGTACCATAAGTTTCTCTTCCAGCACTCGACTTCCACGATCCTTGAAGTCATTCCGGCCGGTGCTGCTGCTGCTGCTGCTGCTACCGCTGCTGTATTGAGTCATTTCTGCGCCGCGATAATTCTATGCACCGATGCAATTGAGATCAACTGGTGCGACCTGTCGGATGATGCTGCTGGACAATCGACAATTAAATGCCGCCTTTGCATAAACTTTACACGTGTTCCACGCGACCATCCATTTCATCAGTGTGATCACCCACGTCGGTATTCGTCATCACGTTAAACGTCGTATCTACGTATAACCCGCGAATGATCATTTTGCCACAAGAAGAAGTACTCTCAAATGCGCCGGAAATACTGAGATAATTATTATTGTGAATAATAATTATCAGAGCGGCCGTTTCAATGTTGCCGTCGAAGAGCATTAAGAAGAAAGTTTGGCGCAAAACAAAGGAGTGAGATAGCGAAAAGAAGCTCACGAGAAGCAGAAGATTCGAATTGCAAAAAGATTTTAATGTACTCTCGGCCGCCGCGACTCGGTGAGGCGAATTCAAACCGCGAAATGTTTACACGAACACACGTATTATAAACACAGGCGGATGTGCGTCACAGTTGGTGCGTTTGGTTGAGCGCGGTCGAGAGGTCGAGTGTGTGTTATCACGACACGGTCAGGCGACCGACTGAAGCACACCTGTCTACCTGCACAGGTAAGGCGTCCGCGAACTTGTATACAGAGGCCGGCCACGCGCAAGGGTGTATACTTTCGCATGCCGCGACATTCGACTTGGAGGATCTGCATTAACAATGATGCGGCGAATGTATAAACGGTGGCAAGCTATTTTTGCGTCGTGGCAGCGAGGATTACGGAAAACATACTCGTGGAGTCCTTCAGCTCTCGTTAGAACGTTCGCACGATGAAATATTGAAATAATGCGAGCCTGAGAGCCTTATCTAGAGCTTTGTCTGCTGAAGGATAGTCTTTAAGGAACAGAGCGGAACGATCGGTCGATCGACGATATAGAGGATGATGGAAGTGACATTGACCAACGACGACGAAATGAGAGAAACCTCGTGCGGCGGACGTGGCGTATCGCGTGGAATTGAATAGATAAAGGAGCGGCGAATGCTTGTCGTTTTCGCGATACCAATCGACGGGGAAAGCTCGGCGAATTATTTAGGAAAAGAGGGCGAGCGAGAGAAAGAGAGGAAAAAAAGCACATTGTAATGCGTGAGTCATAAGCGCTCTGTCGTGCGGAGGTTGGCGTTGACCGCGGCGCATATAAAGGCTTGTGAAGGTAGCTTAACTAAGTGGAGTTAAAGCCGCTTGTTCGCCGCGTATCGCTCAACAAGTTGCGCTTCCTGATGAGACCGCGATTAATAACGCGAGAATGTCAAGGATGAGCGCTCCGCGGAAAGTAATGTCTGTCAGAGCGCACGACAGTTTCGCCGATAGAATCGACCGGCTACGTGTATCTACGGTGTGTAACGTTTAACGCGATGTCGATTAGTACCTATCGCGAATGTGCCCTTTGATTCGCGCTTCATTATTAATCGCACGAGTCCCCGCGAGAGAGAGCAATGATTGTAACAACGCAGGCTTTTGAAAGATGACTTAACAATTTAGGAGACATTCTACATTTTTTTAAAAGGAAGTCTTTTAGGAATTTCTGTTGTAGAAGAACTTCCTCAGCAATAATTCGATTGATGGCAACAATGCGATAATCAAGCCAATAACGCCAGTACGCTAATAATTAACCCTTTGCACTCGGATGTGACCTCACAGGGGACATTTTAAATGTAGCAGAGATGTCTCCGAGTGCAAATGGTTAAAGAGCCCCAGCTCGAATTGAGTGAGATAATTTTGCGATCGCTACGAGACAAGATGTTAGTGTTTTTTTTAGCTTTTCGGACAATATTTTTTCCTCTAGCTTTGTTTTTAATTCTTTTGTTTCATACCAACAAGTAACTATTTGCCTCTCGTGGAGCTCGAGCTATTAGGAATGATTACGCCTCGAGTTAAACGGGCGTGAAGTCGAGCTCGGCTATTCTGCAAGTGGTTATCCGTTCCACTATCATTTTCTACGGACGAAAGTAATCAATGCTGGACACAGTTAAGCATCGAGGTCAGCAACGCTAGACCGGTCAGATATCGCCGATCGATATTTGGAACGGGGAACATTAAACGAGCATTATGCGGTGGAAAAGGGATTACTACCTCTGACCTCCAAATACCAGCGCGCTATGGATTATTGATTGCACCAGCAGGATCCCCGCGGAAATAATAATGAGCGTGTCGCTGATAAACTCGAACGTTACGACGCGCGGCGGATGTGTTGCGCTACATTATATTATGTGACAGAGCTCTACTTATTTGACATAATGTCAACTAATATAACAACGAGCCCCTTGTCCTCGATAAACACTCGAGTAGTATGGTAGAAGATATCTTTCAGATTTTTTTTCCATCAAAATCATCCAAAAAACACAAATCATCGCATAAATCACCCCAAAACATCAAAATCGTTTCAAAAACATCAAAATCATCCCAAACAATATAAAAAAAACACTAATTTCAGAGATTGCATTTTTTGATGCAGATGTTGCATGTCCCTCTCCAATGATCAGAGACAGTAAAAATCACTCAAAAATATCCCAAAAATCATCCAAAATCAAGCCTAGAACAAATGCGACTCAATGCAATCTCAGTAAGTAATATAGTAAATGTTATCTGTCCGAGGACAGAATTTTGTGGGAGATGATTTCCGCAGAGAGGCGACTGCTCGTGAGTACGGCTTTACCTGGAGCACGGCCGCCCGCCGTACTCTATCCGCACGACTATTACACCGAGAGAAAAATATAGTTGCTTTCGGCGTCAACTATACTTTCTTGTGATTTTAACAAAAAAAAATAATTAGAAGAACCATTTTTCTAATAACACTTACTAAAATAATAGTTTTTCTGACTACTTTTGTGGTTAAAATCACAAAAGAGTGTAGTTGACGCCAAAAACAACTACATTTTTCTCTGTGTACTGTCCGTACGGAACACAATTAGTTTTGTAACTTACACTATGATTTTCTTATCCATTATTTTTACTTTTGTCATATGTTTTTAGAGCATTCAGCTCTTGATCCTTTTATTATAGATTTTTTTTTAACTACTATTTTAAATGCATGCGACTATTTTAAATGCTAGCAACGCCAGCGACCGAAGGTTCTAAGCCCATGAGACGCGTGACTGATGCCATATATGAAAAACCATTGAAGATCGAACCAAACACTACGTTAACAAATACATTTAGCTTGAATTCATTTTACATATGGAGGATAATTTAAAAACGTATAGGATTTTGCTTGAAAAGGTGTTTTTTCGATAATTTTATTCACTTTATAATATTATTCTGAGGACAAATCAAATTGGGAGATTTGATTTTTATTGGGTGAGATATAGATTTTAATATTTTTTGGGTATGTAGTAACGTTGAAAATGAGAACAGATCGAATTGGAAGATTTGTTTTTATGGCGGGAAGTGTGCATTTTTTAATGTTTTTTGGGTTTAGTAACGTTAAAAACGGTCACTCCCTCGTGTCTTCCACAATATCTGCCCTCGGCGTAGCTTATGATTTCGGGGGATTTTTAAAAAATTGAATTTTTATTGATTCTTTTATTATGGAAAATGAGTGCTTTTCGAAGTAATCAAACTTCAAAATGAATGTTTTTTTTATGAAAATTCATCTTTCATAAGATCTGTCCTCGGAGTAACATTTACTGTATTACTCACTCGACGTACCGACATTGGCATTCGCCGAGGTGTCGCGATCGACGAAAAAAAAAAGAAGAGCGATACGCGTAAAGACTGCTACTATTTTAAGACCGCGCGAAAGACTCTTAATTATACCGGCAATGTGGCGTGGGTATAACAGGAGGGGGAAGAAGGGGCGGAATTCCATTGTAAGAATATTGCGTGAGACACGTGAATCGCCCGTTCAACCCTTCGAGCAGCCGAAAGTGACCTTCACGTCGCTCCGTCTCCTACATAGTTTCTTGAATATCCATTCTCGTAAAGTCGCGAGTGAACACGCTCCACCGATTTTATCTCTTTAAGATTGATCTTTCCTTGATATCTTTTCGCCCGACACGCACGGAAATGTGAGAAACGTATCGAAGGCGGCAAGAAAACGCAGCTGTCGTCGTCGTCGTAGCCATCGTTGAAGATTCATTAATTATGACAGAAATTATCAAGCGGATATTTCTGATCAAATTCCAATTTATTTTTACATCCGATCAGAATATCTGATTGAATTTAATCAGGCACTTCAGATCATATATAATTGATATTTCCTCAGATAAATAATTCAAGATATTTAAAGACCGATATTTCTTACCAGATGTTTCCTGACCAGATATAAAAATTAATCAGAAATATTTGTTTGATAATTCTTCTCAGTGTGAGTAAAAATGTGATTAATGAAGAGGTGACGTCACATCTCATCAATAATGAATATGCAGATATGCGTGCATGCGATCCGCGCATCGAGGAGGACGTAACCGACGCTCTCGATCCTCCCCGTGAAGAATTCTGTATGAATCATGATACTGGTGAATAATAGCGACGTTGCATGTCCTACTTGCTATCCTACTTTGTACGATTATTTTTCGTCGGGGCTTCGTCCCCAAATCTTCGTCGTCTGGAAGTTCCGGCGTGACACATTCCGTTACGAGTCGCCAGTCGTGCAATTTTATATCCATATGAACGACCAATAGAGTATGTTGAATATGATGAACGACACGGGGAACACTATTCTACTGCGCTTGTCGATCCACTGAGCGATTTCCTGCGGTGTCATCGTCGTGAAGTTGTGCAACTTGGCGAGAGTCGCCCTGCGCGGGAAAGGCTTGGACGGTGGGGTGCTGTCGATGGTCGTGATGCTGCCGACGGAACAGTCCGGGTCTTTGTCCTCCTCTATTCTCACCGACGGGATATTGATCGTGCTCGGGAAGCTCTGGAAAACGCGAGAGTAACGTGGAATTCGTGATCTGGCAGCGATTGGTCTTCTAACGAATCCAATCGGTTCTCTCCCGCAGAGAGAATCACCTCGCATTCTGTAATTCACGGTAATTACAAAGTAACATAAAGTACTCACATGCACGGTGAGGTAATTCTGACTCGTGAAGTCTTGCTCGCTGCTGTTCGCATTATCCAACGACGACCATGATCGCGACCGTTCCAGCCCGCTCGTGTTCTTCTGGAACTGCTTTCTCGCCAGACGCGGTGTCAAAGTCGACTTAAGAATGTATTTGCTGTTCACTTTCTTCAGGGGTACATTCTTCCTGTATCACGAATACGACACGTTATCCTTAAATGTTTGTGGCTCAAATCCTTGAATAATCACAGCCGTGACGAGTAGCGTGCGAAGTTGCGTATATGTGCCTGTTTTTATTTTGTTAAAAGCTCAATGAGAAATTACGTACTTCCTTCTATATATAGTATTGACGAAAGCGAACTCGACCATCGCCGCGAACAGAAATATCGTGCAACCCAAAAACCAAATTTCACTGGCCTTGATGTAGGAGACTTTCGGCAAAGAATTCTCCACCTTCGACGCGAGCGTCATGAACGTCAGGATAGTGTTCGTTCCTGAAAGCATAAATCTCGCTCACATCTTCAACGTAACAACGTAACGCCGACGACGCGATGACATTCGTGCGAATATTACCTAACACTATTCGTGGCGCGCTCGCATCCACATGCAACCAAAAGGACACCCAAGAGATCACCACGATTAATATGGACGGAACGTAGTAATCCATCATGAAGAATCCCATTTCACGGGCCAGTTTAAACGTAATATTTATTGAGCTAAAATTGCCGGCTGTAATCATCGTCATGATTAATGAGATTATTACTCCCGCCTCTTTTTCAGTTAAGCAAACATTGCCAATTCGGGATTACTTATCGATCGAGTTTACCGAAATGTCCGTAATGATACTGCGATGACGTGTAGGATATTCCAGAGCTGTTGACCCACTTGTCTACGAGTTTATACTCCGTTAGATACAAATTGTCTGCGATGACGATCGGCTCCTCATCCCAGTCCAGCACCATCTCGTTCACATTGTGAGTCCCTGCGGGAAGAAATTCATCATCCATACAATCCACGCTATAAAACATGCGCGATATAACAGTTCTACACACGGAGAGTTTTATAGTAAAAATTACTGTAGAGTCTTGTAAGGAATAGATTGACTTTCTGCAGTAATCCACTATCCTGTTGTTTCATAGATTTTAGGAACTGAAATGTGCTATTAAAACATTTGCTACGTTTCTAGCGAAATTTATTATGTTCCTTAGCAAAATAGACTTCACCGACAGTCTATTTCTGGACTTCTAATAAAATGTAGTAAAATAGAAGAGAAGTTACATGAAAAAAAAAGAAAAACTATAATATTCTCTCCGTGTAATGCACAGCCTACTGACAGCTCTCGAAGACCAGCGGGCACTCTTGCACGTCGAACGGGAACTTTTCCAACCGAAGCCCGCAATTCAGGGTGGCCTCCAGCCTGAAATTCAAGCGAACGTTCGCTGTACACCCCGTGATCAACCGATTGTTGGCGTGATCTTTCGCAAGATTCGCATTAAAACGAATAAATATGCGAGAAAAAGTTGAAATAAAAAGGAAAATTATCGAGTTATTGCGTTTTACCAGGTCTGGGCCATGACTTCCGCCAGGATGAAAAAGAGCATCGATGTACCTTGTGTTCAACATGACCATGCCGTCAGGATTGATGGAGATAAGCAGGTCCTTCACGCCACTCCCCATCACGGCCGAAGTGCGCTCGTTCGCCACGTACACTGTCGGGGTCCAGATCAAGTCGTGGGCGGATTGACCACCGTATATTTGAGTCAGATAAGGAGCTATGTCCGAGAACTTTAGCCGTTTGTCCAGGTATCGAAACTGCAGCATCAGATGCACGTCGAATTGCTGCAAAGTACGATCCCAGATAGCACAGAGAATTCAAAAAGAATTCAGTCGTATGTCAACAATTTGTTTTTAGATGCAAAAAGAATTCTTCAGAGTTCAGTTCAGTGAAAAGAATTTCTTTTGCACCTAAAAATGAACTCAGAATTGGTGACGTACGACTGAATTCTCTTTGAATTCTCTGTGTTATCTGGATTCTCTTTATTCTTAAGCTCGGCGATATTTGCACTAATCGTTTACCTGAAAAGTTTACAGATATAAGTAAAAGTGGGAAGGTACCAGAGTTTTGGCCATGTTGGACTTTATCGTGTAAATGAAGGCTCTGGTATAAACTTTGATCGGGTCGGTCACGTTTACCACCCCGGGTGGCCTGATCATTTTGTCGTAACGACACTCGTTTGCCAGTTCCTGCAAGAGTTCCGTTTGAGTCATGGAACTACTAAACGACGGGCAATTTCCCGACCTGTAACAAGCATGGGATTTCTTTTAACACGATTCTCCTTGTGGACTTAGTCGCAGGATTACGTCGCGAGTCACGCACCTCCTCCCAGCTGCGTGAAGTCTTTCAGAAGTATAGGGAAGCGGTAGGAAGGGCGCGAGTTTTGTGAAGAATTCAAGTACAGCCTGGCGCATTGTAATTGGAAATTGTAACAACAGACTTCGCACGAGCGCGCGATAATGTCTGTCTTTCAACGGAGCCGTTTGCAAATTAGTATTCCGCACACCAACTCTCTCTCTCTCCACGCGTGTGTTTTCGATGTATGTTCATTAGCTCTTTGTATTAATGTAAATGACGCATTGACAGTATTAGGTGCATAAGTAACCATTTTGCGAGAACTAATTGCATCTTCGCGCGACGTAAACACTCGTGAGTCGCAAATTTGCGATTAGTCGCGAGTCTCGCTCCAATTGCAAAGTATAAATCAGTGCGAGACGGGAGGACAGTCGCGTCGAATTTCGCGAGACAGTTATGTAAAAATTTGTTTTCGCGAAACCGCGTCGCGTCGCTCACGTGACAGATTATATTTTTTTGCAGTGAGTATTACGCACCACGGATGCACGTGCTTCGCCCGTCGTAAACGAGCCACCACAAAAGGAATGCCGACTGTATTAAGTTCTTATCTCGCTGGGTGCTACTCGAATTTACAACGTCGAATAATTCTCATCAGATATCCTGTTTATGTAAGATACGCATATTTACGCACGCATCTTTGCCCGTAGAATCGTGTGTGCTCGTCGAGATTAGGATTAAACTCTCTCGTGACGTTATACCGTGTCATATGACACACCGCGGGCGTCGCGGACCACATCGAGCAATAAACATTTGCACCGGATGTTCGATACAGTTTATGTACATCGGGATGTGCGAAATTACAAGGAGAGCTCGATTTCGGTGATTCGCCGCGGCGAGATGCTCCTTCTCGATTTAGACCGAGGGTGTCGTTGCGTAAGCGCAATTGATTCCGAGTGTTGCGCGGCGTACGCGCTATTTTCCCTGGATTTCCGCACGATTAGCCTCGTTTGCGCTGCCAGTTACGATTTCGTGACTTCTTAGTTAAGACACGACGGCACGTCACAGAGCAAACGAACGCGATAATGATAAGGCGCGATCAGAAAGAGAGAGAAAGAGAGAGAGAGAGAGAGAGATCGGCGAGAGACAAAAATTTAATTTGAGAACGCCGGTATTATTTGGACAGATGTATCTCTGCGATTTGACGCATGTCGCCGTCGTCGAAACTCGCGCGAACTCTCTCGCGCGTACACGATAATAAACGATAGTAGTTTACCAACGAGTACGATCATTAAACGGCTTTTGTCAAAGCTGTCACTTCTGTCCGAAGTTACGGCGCTGTTTCGCGCGAGAGAAGCGACGAGCAATTTTTGCGACGCACGCGAAAAAAAGCTCTCGCGACCCGCGACAGATAATATACGACGTTACTCTAATTCATTAATGCCGTGCATTGATATTTACGAGGACCCCGAAGGTCAAATGTTACGCGCTAATAAGTTCGAAAGCAGCCGTAAAATTTTACCAAGGCTGGAAATAATAAAATTAAGCCAATTTTACCTTATATGCCTAACGTGCACGCCTCCTTAATTTACTGAAGCGCACGCGAGCGCGTTCGCCGGAGTCTTTTCTTTCTTACGTAAAAAAATACACTTATTATCCGCGAGAAACGAGGATAAAGATTGAATGACATTAATGCGTTTCCTTTTTTCTTTCTTTTGTTCGTTCCGCAATCCCGTTACTTCGTGGTTTGCGAGACCCTTCCGACGAATAACGACGACGTGCGCCGCGAGCAAGTAGACTTGTGGTTTTGCAAAATTTATGAAGCGTATATTTTTATTCTATTTACGAACATCGTTAACATAGCCTGTCATTCAGAGAGATTATTCTACGAGCGGTAGATAATCGTCGAGGTGATAAAATTGTGAATATTTATGAAAATATAATACAGCATTGACTGGTAAATATACGTGTTCGAATTAATTAGCAGGAAAATCGCGTGTGTCTACTAGTCTCATTTTCTTATTCGAAGTGCAAGATATACAAGTTTTTTTTTTTTTATAATTACACAGTAAGCTAGATCTATATCCAGCGAATAAACAACGAATGAATGCTGACGTGAATGTGTGATGCGTTATATTCATTTTGCGCACAAATTTTCTTTGATAAATTGCATCATATGTGAGTGAATCGGCCCAAATAAGACGTTCTGTTCAGATTCGTCCAGGCAGTTTTTTAATGGTAAAACAAAAGTTCGCATTTGTTTATTCGCTTAATATATACTCAGCTTCACTTGTCACTTCCGTTCATTCCATGAAAATCAGCGGCAACGCATGTCATACGCTCGTTTCTTTCAATTACCGGCGTGATATATTTTCTTTCCCTCCGCTCTTCTTCTTTATTAACGTAAAAAGAAGAAGACTTACATCTTAGTTGCGAGCGACGATGACCACGACAGATGAACAAAGAGTGCCAAGACGAAGACTCCTCCTCCGAGAGTCATTCTAAGTTTCTTTGTCACTTAGCTGTACCACTAATAGGTTCCGACTGATCTTTCCTTGAAGTCGCGCGAGCAAATTTGCCGGAAAACAGCCGCCGACCAAACCTTTGCTCCCACTCGCGGTTTGCTCCTTCAGCTTGCTTGAACGCACACGTACACTTCGTGCAGATGTGTGTCATTAAGCTGGTAACGCACACACTTAGTATATGCTTAAGGCTTAATGCTGTAGACGTTGTATCGCGTTTCGTAGCGAAATTTGCACATCGACATAGTGGTGCACCGTTTCTGACGCGATCTCAATACCAGATATCGTTAAACGCACTCGTTTCCCAGTATATACCATGCGTAATTGTTTACTCATTGTTGTGAAAATGCTACATTCCCTGCATAATGGTCCGTGATTCACACTTCGGCATGATGAAATTTCTTTTATCTCCGGGAACTTGTAAGTTTTATCGCGACATATAATTGCGCTCACACATACTCGTGGTCTCCGTTTTGCTTTCTCTTCATTTTCCGTTGTCGAATTATGTTTGATCTACTGCAGTCTCGAAGTTCGTTTAAGTCCGTAACATACAGAAGTAAAAAGTTTAAAAAATACGTGTCCTATGAATTGCAGGATTCGGATAAGATAATTTAGTAAATAGTCGATGTAGTAAAAATTGAAAATTCTACAATGAGAATTTCATTGAGAATTTCTACAATTTATTAATATATGTTTATATCGCATGAATATATTCACGCGATGTCGGGTTTCATACGATTAACAGTATATGTTAATAAATAAAGATCTTGTAAAAGTTTCGTTAACCTTTTAAAATGTCTATCCGTGTAAGGTATCATGGCTTCTAGAGTCGAAGAGAAACCCGACGTTCGCAGCTTTTCGGCGCCGATCTCCGTTATTAAGGTATTTATAATTACCTAAAAATGACAACGAGATTAAAGACAGAAGATAAAGCTCCTGAAGATATTTTTGCGCATCAAAAGTTTTTCTAAATCAATGAGATACAAGAAAGAATAACTTCGATTCTTATTAAATATTGTGCGATACCTGTGCGGCGTGTGAATTTCGACTGTTTGTATTCCATGTAATTGTGCATTTAAATAATCTTTCTTTGGAAACTTCATCCAACGTCTTGATTATACCTATGAGTTTGTCATTTCCTCTCTTCAATACAGCTGTTATATATAAAAATATACATGAAAATTAAACATTGTCAGATATATGTTTAAACATATCATTGATTAATGTCTAATACGCGCGAGCAATTATACAATCTTCCACCTTGTACCTTCCACAATCTTGAGAACTTTGTACGGTTGTTCCAATCGTAGTGCTAATAACAACGCATCATGGAATCGTTCCATTTGAAGTAGATTTGTCAGCATTTGTTCGTCAAGTGCGCGTCGTTCCCTTTCCTCCATAATTTGCACTTTCTTCTCTTCAGTTACATCTTTCCAAATTACCAGCAACGAGTCGTTACCTCCGCTTATGATACGTTTCTGATCTTTGGTGACTATACGAGCACACAGATGTTATATATGTGTATATTATTATCGAATATATAAGCCGTTGTAGGCAAGCGCAAGAACTCTGAGTAAACTCACCCGCAAGAGTCCAAACGCGACTCTTGTGTTGGTCCAAGGTAGACACGCATTCGGATGTTTTGATATTCCATAATTTCAGAAGACCGTCTCCGCCCGCTGTGATCAATTGCATACCTTGCGACAAGAACTCTCCTCTCAGAACCGAGGACTCGTGTCCTTCGAATGTCTACGTGTCAACGACAAAATTATTACAATAATCTGTGAGCACAAGAAGTGATTTGTATCTCGAAAAGTACCTTCAAACAATTGAGTTCGTTCAAGGACCATAGCTTCATTGTACAATCGGCGGATGTCGTCAAAAGCACTTGATCAACTGGGGAGAATCGAACGCACCATACACCTCTTCGATGACCGTGCAACACTCCAATCAGCTGCAAGTCTTCGGCGGACCATAACTGTGGATATAGTTATTCATACGATTCTCGTAACATATCGTAATCTTAGAGTGATCTGCATGAGAAAGTTAGCGGACATAATGTTACCTTAGCGGTTTTGTCTTGCGATGCTGTAGCAATCACTTGATCGTTCGGCGAGACAGTTACGCAGTTAATGTCTTTATGGTGCGCCAATACTGTGAAACTTACATTTAATGGCACATCTTGGGCTATAATAATTAACAAACATGTAAATCTATTTCTATTATCTTGTTCTATAGGAGAAATTACCGATTTACCGTGCATTTTAAGATCATGAGACAATTCCCACAGTTTCAGACATGAATCTTGGCTGACGGAAGCGAAGAACTTGGTTGATGTTTGAGATATCGCGATAGAACCAACCGATGCTGTGTGCCTAACAGCATCTCCGATGCAAGACATTTCTTTTGTTTCTTCATTCAACAGCCATACCCGAACACTGTCATCCTGAAAATAATTCCGCGTGATGTAGAGCCATATATTTGATTAATTTAAACATCGTTAATATAAATCTATACCTTAGCTGAAGAGACGAGCAGATTTGCATTTGCCGGAGTTGTAGCAAGAGCCAAGACTATGTCGGTATGACCACACAACAACTGACAATTCATAGATGCGATATCATAAAGTTTGATGTCGCAACTGTTGGTTGCCAGAGCTATGTGAGTGTCATCAGCCCCGAGATATACAACGTCCAGTATTTCATCTGTGTAACCCACCAACTGCAATAATTTGGGTGGAAATTAGCATTAGCATAAGATTATTATTCTATGAGATTATGTGTGGAGCATAGCACTAACCTGTTTCTTGCATTCGAACGTCTCTAACGAATAGATAATTATATTGTGATCTGTGGATACTACCGCGAAAGCATTATGAGTCTTATTGTAGAGTAAATGTATAATGGACAAGCCTCCTTCCTCTTTAGCCATTGGTACCAAGGAATTCTTTTGCTTATACATTTCTCTACCTGTCTTCATTTCCCAGATTTTTACGATACCTAGAAAATTTTCATATTAAACAGCATGATCCATTGTTACTCACACATCAATATAATCAAAGAATAAATTGAAATAATCAATATATACCTTTTTCACCAGCTGAGGCAACATATATGTCATCAGGTTTACGTGATGGAAGAAATGATAGAGGAGTATTAGTATCTATTATAAATGCTCCTTCTATTCCTTCATATACAGGTAAGACACGTACTGATGTTCCGGATGATATGTCCCACAAGATTAGTACTTTATCTCTTCCTGAGCTACAAATATATAACTATTAGTTTAATAATAAATTAATTTCAGACAGGATTGTGAGATTTTTATATTACCTAACTAAATAATTTCCATCTTTGTGAAAGTTAAGAGATGTAACTTTACTAAAATGACCAGAAAGAATCATTTTCTCTTGACCACTAGAGATATCCCACGCATGAATCTTTGTGTCATCACCAGCAGCAAAAAGCAGGTTTTTCTCAGTATCTGGATGAAATTTTAGTACACTGAATAAAAATAAAAAATTATATTAATCTTGGAAAATATTGTAAGAAATTTGATATTTTGTACCAAGCACAAAATATAGAGTGAGTTCTAGCTCATGTGCCAAGTGATATCAATTACTGACAGCTATTATAGATCGAGCAATATGAAAATGGCCTTATACATTTCCATATCTACTTCATATAATAATACAAAAAATAAGAATACAACAATTTTTAGTTAAATTGACTAACATTAGTATGCTATATGTTATATTTTATTTCAATTTCCATCAATTGCCATAATTGCATAATCTATATCACATGATAAAAAATTGGCATGTGAGCTGGAACTGTACACACACCTAATTACACCTTGAATTCCTTTGAGATTATGTGTACAGGTATGGTGTACCAAATTCCATAATCTAACTGTGCCGTCACTTCCCCCAGATGCCATTAAAAAATTTGCATTTGTAAGCGCTAATCGTACTACAGGTCCTTTGTGGATAGATTTCCATAATTTCAACAATTTATTAACTATAAAATTACATAAATAAAATTAAATTAACAATGAATAAAAAAAAATAAAGACTTGAAAAGACAGACTTGAATACTTATTACTTTTCCAGTCCCATAATTTGAACAATCCACTTTTGTGATGAGTGACTATGTTCGTGTCACCATCAGTAAGAATAAAACAATTTATTGTGTCTTCTTCTTCTTGACTAGATTCACCCAATGATAATATCATAGAACCTTTATCAAGAGACAATACTGACACGGTACCTCCTTTTTGACACAATAAATCCTCGCCCCATGTACTCCACTGCAATAAAAAGATTATATGCAAAAAATAAATCTAATAAAATAAATCTAATAAATTAATTTAGACACTTACGTGTATATCCCCGCCAGTATAAAACGCTCCATACTTACATTCAACTTCGATTCTGTAAATACAACATGTAACGAATGTTGTAATTTAAAATATTAACAATATATGTACACTTATCATAATAGTGAAAGATACTTACACTTCCTTGAGATTAACTTTGTTCATTTTTTCTAAATCAATTAATTTACATAGAAGAGACAAATTTATTGTTTCATCGCAATTTTGTATATGTTAGCACGTTCATATATTCTCACTAAATAGGTTATAATTCTTAAAAACAATGCCACGCGCTGCACATGTTTCTTTTCCTCTTCTTCCGAAAATATCTAGCGACCTCTGCATTCAGGACGTCGAAACGCTTGCCGCGCGGAAAGAAAAGACATGGGCCGATCTTCATAATAGGATTTTAAAACCACCTTAAGTTCATCATCAAATACTTCGTAACCAATGAAATGATCCGTACTCTATAGCCAATGAAATGACTCGTACAACATCTAAAGATTAATAGCATGTTCGACTGGCCCTGGGTTACTCGCTCCGCGAACAATTAATGACGTCATAAGTCTCTACTAGCCAATCATAAAAGTACTTGTTCGACCAATAAACGTAGGCTGAATAAAGGCCTTCACACACACTTTCCGTAACAGTAACCGTAAGACGTAACGTAAGAATTGACCAATCACGTTGAGAATCGTCGAAACATAAGGTCGCCATTTTTGTGAATACTCCATCGTAATTAGTCAATTCTTACGTTACGTCTACGGTCCTGTTACGGAAAGTGTTTATAAAGGCCTTAAGGCCGTGGCACACAGAAAAACTTAAGCAGTAAGACGTAAGCAGTAAGCAAATTGATCAATCACAGTCGTTGATTCTTGGACCGTAAGAAGAATCAATGACAGTGATTGGTCAATTTGTTTATTGCTTACGTTTTACTGCTTAAGTTTTTCTATGTGCCACCAGCTTAAATGAGTGGGTTAATCCAGAGCCAGTCGAACATGCTAGGCTGTGTTCAGAAACCTCGGTGAGTAGAGTAACATTTAATTAGCCAATCAGAGCGAAAGGAACTAAGATTTATTTATTATGATTGGTTTATTAAAATAACTCTACCCATCGAATAGGATTTCTGAACATAGCCCTATAAGTCCCAATCTACAATAGATGTATTAAGCTTTAAGCCTTAAGAAATTGACGAATCATAGTCGAATTATAGAGGAATATTATTAATTAATTAACCAATCAATCGTGATTGGTTAATTTCTTACGGCTTAAAGCTTTCTACATCTATTGTAGATCGGGACTAAAGGGCTAAGCACAAGCAAAAAAGGAATAAAGAATAGGGAATAGAGAATAGGAGACAGAGAATAGGAAATAGTTCAATATTAAAACATGAAACCTAATTCATCAATGCAGAACAGAGAAATAGCGTTATTTCTTGTTTTCAGTATTTCTTACTCCTTATTCTTTGTTTCTTGTTCTTTATTCCTTTTGTTATGCTCAGCTCCTAAAAGGAATAAGGAACAGGGAACAGAGAATAAGGAATAAGGAATAAGGCCTAATTCCACAACCTCCAGTTAACTTAACTGGCTGGTTATTCCATTGAACTTGACCAATTGTATTTCACATTAAGAAGAGTTAATCAGAATCAACCAATCATTATTGGGACTTAATCGGTAGTTAAAATTAAACGGATGTTGTGGAACTTAGCTTAAGGAATACTGAAAACAAGAAATACGCCATTGGCTGGACTGGCTGTTAAGTCGTAGAATTTGAAAATAAAAGCACGCCTGACTATTCGTTGAGAAACACTGCGATCTTGATTCTTCATTAACGTCAACAGCGCCTCATAGAGGAAACTTGGAGCAACCTCATTTGCATATACACAAACATCCGGCATCCAATAGGAGAATTTCTTTTCTAGGGACAAAGGTGCTGCCGAACTGCGGCTGACGGGGGGCTGATTTTACCATTGGCCATCGAAAGCTCGCGCATCAAAGTCGACGTAGTTGCGCGGACAATTCGTTACATGTCGCCGGAGCCACCACATCCGCCGCCATTTTGTTTATTTTCGCGTGAACCCGAAAGATCCGCGAGCGATCGCGACGTACGGGATCGACCGTCCGCGCGTACTCGTTCGTGGTGCTCGAGTAAGAATCCAGTCGCGGCTGGACACAGCGAGACAAAGAGGCGACAAGCACGCGGAAGGAATTCGCACCCGCTGCTGCGAGAGAGCAACAGTACCGCATACAGGTAGGCTCTTGTTTGCATACGGTAGCGCGCAGCCGGAAGTTGCGGATAAGTCGATCGAGAGTCGGAGTCAGCGATCGAGATCCGGCGCGGCGGGCAGTAGTCACGGCGAGAGGGAGTTGAGCGAGTGAACCGAGTAGCCGCGGAGTGTGTAACGTGTGTGTGTATGTTCGTCGCGCGCGATCATAATTCGCGATTATCGCCGTCATTCTCGCAGTCGCAGTTAATTAATCGTCATCGTCGTCGTCATTGTCGTCGTCGTCGCTGTCGGTGATTGTCGCATAGCCGTTCTGCGCCGAATAAGCGCGCAGCGAATACCGTTTTTCTGCGGATCGGCCGCGGAAGGGGCAAGAGGAGGAGGAGGTCGGTGCGCGAGACGCCGGAACCCGAAGCGAGACGATCGCCGCCGCTACCAACGCCACCACCACCACCACCACCACCACCACCGCCACCACCATCATCATTATCTTCATCATCACAGACGTCGTCGTCGTCGCTACCGCCACCGCCGCGAAGGTAGCCGCGATCTCGCTGTGGCGACATCCGGAAGAGAAGCGTAGGAGTACGTGCGGGCTCGCTGCTATTCGACGGATCTAGCAGCGAGAGAGGTAACACGAGGGTGGAATATATGCTGTGGGCGTCCCCCGTGCGAGTGGGGGCACTTGATGGCCGCAGAAATTGGGCGAACTGCGAGCAAACATCAATCGTCGGAGTGCGGTAAAGCGACGTCGCTGTCGAGTCTCGGTGGCGACGTGGGCTTGGACAACCGGGTGATCGTGGCAACGGAATCGGAGCAGCAACAGCAGCCGCGGGATTTGCAGCAACAGTCGCATCATCAGCAACGACAATCGCCACCACCGCCGCCGCCGTCGCCGCCGCAACAGCAACATCCGCACGAGCGAACATCGTCGGCTACGGTGCAACCGAAGATAACGCTCGATAAACAACGACGTAAAACAACAACGACGTCGACTTCTCCTTGTCGCAATCGTCAATCGTTCGCGACCGCGCCAACGTCGGGCATCAATCAGCAGCAGCAGCAGCAAACTCCCACCGCAGACGTAACCTCGACGGCGGAGGCCGTCACCGAGGTACCCGGCGCCATCAAGACGACCATCAACATCGGCTTCGCGATGAATCACGTAAACGACCAGGAGAACCTCAAGCAGCTGAGCCTCGCGCCTGTTCAGGTTAACGAGGTCGAGGAGATGGACACGCAAGAGGGTGAGTGCTCCTCGATTTCTCTCTCTCTCTCTCTCTCTCTTTCTCTCTCTCTCTCTCTCTTTCTCTGTTCCTCCCCTCCATCTATCCTCCCTCTTCTTTCTCTCTCTCTTTCTTCTCGTGTTACGGACGTAAACGCAAACTCGAAGAGAAAGAGAGAAAGAGATCCTTTTCTCTGTCGCGCGCCTCTACGCGCTACTTTTCTCCGAATTTTTTTTTGTTTTTCCACTCGACGGTAAGCACGCGAACGGAATGATCTTTATATTTAGAAGGGAACTCCGCGGTGTGCAGCTTTGTATATCATTGTTGCCACAAAACGAAATTTTAATTCCGACGAGGAATTCCGATACTTACAACTGGTTTTTCGTATAATTGATGATTGCTGCTAATATATAAATAATTTACACGCATTTAACGTTACATCAGATAAGTCGTTTCATTATCCTTCTATGATGATTTAGTAGTTACCAACCTTGAGATTTTTACGGGGTAAGGGGACACGTGTGCAACGTTTCTATATGTTCTTTGTGAGAAAATATGCACATTATTCGTAGGCAAAAATATTCCATGAGTGAAAAGAGTGTGTAACTATACAGAAATTATTTCTTGTTGCATTCTGTTTTGCATTAAATGTGACAGTTGCTATATTTCACTTAACTAATCACATTGTTATATTATCATATTCAAATGTTTTCGTTACAATTGTCTTTTATTTAAAATGAAGAATGTACATGTGTTTGTTGCGAGATATTAACAATATTACTGGACAAATACTTTTCAATCAGTATGACTAGTGTTGTAACAATTATAAATATATCACATTGTGTAGATAAGAATGAAATATAAAACTGGATGTTACATCATTATTTAAAAGTTTAATATATAAAATGTAATCATTTTGCTGATAAAAAAATTACCATATATAGCTACTGTATGTATGTATATAAGTGTATGAGAAAAAAACTAGTTACTACTTGACTTACCTTTCTTATATGTAAACAAGTGATACATTTACTGTTTCACATCTGTACAAAATATTTTTTATAATGAATAAATATATCTATTGCATGGTTTGCAGTGTGAATGTGAAACTATAATGATACTATAGATGATCTTCATCTGATGCAATTCACTTGTTTCCCTTTTTCTTCACCAATCAAATCGTAATAATTACTTATCGCTGATACATTCAACATGAATTCTATAGACTGTAATCTTCGTGTTCTTGTGAAAAAGATTTTTCAAAATTGCTATGATGCTTTAGGTAAATGTGATATTGATACTGTGCTTATATAATTACTTGGATAAAAATATGATACCTGCCTTTTAAACATTTTTAATTTTGATAATAATGCACACATGTGTTTCACATTATTTAATTAATATAATTCTATAGATCTGTTGTGAAGTTTAAGGTTAGCTATTATCTCTTGCATTATTTATTACAAGTTTCTCATAATCTTGAAATGTTTATTAGGCTTGTGTCTTCCACCTAAAAAAAAATGAATATTACTGACTTTGTAGAAACCCCCAATGATGGTGGGGGAGATGGAACTGACAATCGTCCTATGAATGGTGAACCAGAGTTAGCGTGCATAGTTCAAGATCAAGAAATGGAGGAAGGTAAGATGATTTTCTTGCAGATTATATTTCTGTTCAGATTTTTAACATTTGGAAAAATCAATTCTACATGTTGTGCTATGTTTGCTGATAAATCTATACTCCTTTTGAATAGATGAAGCCAGATCAGAAGCGACCTTTCGATACACTGTGGAAAATCTAACGAAAATGAGAGATTCACAGTTATCACCTGCATGTTACGTCCGTAATTTGCCATGGAAAATTATGGTGATGCCACGGTCAAGTCAGACGCAGGAAAGACAACCTCAAAAATCACTTGGTTTTTTCCTTCAATGTAATGGAGAAAGTGAGTCTACTTCTTGGAGTTGTTACGCTGTTGCAGAACTACGTCTCCTCTCTTGTAAAGAAGGACTAGAACCGTTTAGCAGAAGTGAGTATTACATCATGTGTCCTAAAAATTTATTCATTCAATGTTTATATCAATCCACTTGAATTTCTTTATTTTATTTTATTTTATTTTATTTTTTTTGAAAATAAAATTATGTGTTTTTTCAATGATACATTCTATATTTTCACAGAAATTCAGCATCTTTTCTATAGTAAAGAAAACGATTGGGGCTTCAGCCATTTCATGACATGGCATGATGTTCTGGATCCTGATAAAGGTTTCATGAAAGATGATTCAATCACGCTCGAGGTTTGTAACCATATCTTTATTAATCAATATCGTCGAGTAGTGCACTTGATCTATTCTTCAGTAAGCCTTATTACCTATTTATTACTCTTCTGCTATTGCCGGAACTGTTTTAACCTGTTCGTAATGAAATTTTATAGTAAGCTGTAATCACGAGTTTATATCATTCTCATAAATATTAATGAATATTTACAAATACTTCTTTTCATTAAATATTCGTTTGTTTATCGATCTAACGAAACATAGTCACATTAGAGGAAAGAATTGAGATACATATACTAATTGTGTAGAATTCGCATTAAACATAGTTTGTAATATTTATTGGTTCTATAATTAGGTTCATGTAGTGGCTGATGCACCTCATGGTGTTAGCTGGGACAGTAAAAAACACACGGGTTATGTGGGATTGAAGAATCAAGGTGCTACATGCTATATGAATTCTTTACTACAAACTTTGTACTTTACAAATCAGGTTGGTAGAAAATTGTGAATTTTTCTTGAAATTTTAATTTGTCTCGTCTATTGTTCGTTTTGTTAATTCATATCCGTTTTCTTTCTAGTTACGAAAAGCAGTTTACAAGATGCCAACAGAGAGTGACGATTCTAGTAAGAGCGTCGCGCTGGCTTTACAGAGGGTTTTTCACGAATTACAATTTTCGGACAAGCCTGTCGGCACAAAGAAATTAACCAAAAGTTTTGGCTGGGAGACATTGGATTCTTTCATGCAACATGATGTGCAGGAATTTTTACGTGTGGTAAGTGTATTTTATTGTAATTTATTCATCACATCGATTATAAAGCGTATGTGTTAACTGTTAATTGTGAAAATTCAGTCTATTATTTTAATTAAAATTCAGTTGTTAGACAAATTGGAAAGCAAGATGAAGGGAACGTGTGTGGAGGGTACAGTGCCAAAATTGTTTGAGGGAAAAATGGTCTCCTTTATCAAATGTAAAAATATAGACTACAAATCCACAAGAGTTGAAACATTTTACGACATACAGTTGAACATAAAAGGCAAAAAAAGTAGTAAGTATTACGTATCTGTGCATATCTATACGTGTATGGGAGGGAGAAGAATCGATGTGTTATACTTCCACTTATGTGTATAGCAGTTATTACAGAAAATCCACGAATATTTTGTTTTAGTTTATGAGTCTTTTAGCGATTATGTGAGTACAGAAAGTCTTGACGGTGATAATAAATATGACGCGGGAGAGCACGGATTACAGGAAGCGGAGAAGGGCGTTATTTTTTCATCATTTCCACCGGTTTTGCATCTACATCTAATGCGGTTTCAATATGATCCAGTTACAGATTGTTCGGTCAAATTTAACGACAGGTAAGAAAGCGAAAATTGTCACTCAGCATTGATTCACAATGGTTGAGCTATGCAGATCGATAACAGATGAGTGACCAGTTGTTTTAACATTTGCATAATCGCACAAATTTATCTCCCAAGGTTTGAGTTCTATGAAAAGATTAGTCTCGGCAAGTATTTGCAAAACAAAGAGGCAACGAGTGCGGATTACACTTTGCATGCAGTCCTGGTCCATAGTGGTGACAACCATGGAGGACACTATGTTGTATTTATTAATCCTGCTGGTGATGGCAAAGTGAGTAAAAAAAATTTGGATTTATTAAAAATTATAATTTTAATATTTTTATATAAAAACTCATTTATAATCTACCTCAGAAAACTGTCGTTACAATATAATGCAGTAGAAACGAGGAATACTTTGTACAGTAAATAATTTCTTATAAGTATTTTAGAATAACTTACTTTTTGTGTCCCAAATTGGGTCAAATCAATTCTCAAAGCTGCACATTTTATTATTTTCGTATTAACAGTTGTATCTTTTACAGTATTATAACGTAAGAAGGAGTAATGTTTTAAAATTCCAAACAATTATATGGAGTATTTGTTGCTATTTAATTTACGAAATTTCTGTTGACAATAGCTGTGCGATTAAAATATTATATTATCATATTTAATTTACGACATTTTTGCTGACAATAGTTGTGCGATTTAAAATATTACATTACCATATTGCGACATCTCCAAAATACTTTCCTTCGTCTGTCCTATGACAGTGGTGTAAGTTCGATGATGATGTCGTCTCACGTTGCACGAAGCAGGAAGCTATCGAACATAATTACGGTGGTCAAGATGAGGATATGTCTATGGCTGTGAAACATTGTACTAACGCTTATATGCTGGTCTACATAAGGAACTCAGAGCTGGAAAACGTCTTGCAAGAGGTCAAAGAAGAGGATATACCTCAAGAGGTCAGAAACGTCCTTCAAAGAGAGCTTTCCCAGGAGTTGAGCGACCTTGAACGTGACAAAGACGCGACTGACTCGATCAAAGACTCGCACACAGAGACCGCGACTCTTCGTCCGTGCACGCAAAATCCTCGAAATCCAAATCTCTATATTCATGATTTTTAACCAACAGAAGACGCCAATAGAGAAATAGGCGGAAAGAGTTGTAAATTGCTTGCGTTGCTTCTCGATCAAACTCTTCCTGAAATGTCGATATCGTATTGAGCCACAATGAGCCTGTTCAGATAGTATCTAGGCTTGCCAGATTACACACATATCGCATTGAAGAATACATAATGCGTATGTGTAAGAAAGTCTCGAGGAGTTTTTGCGTCCTCGTTGCAATATTTTGGCTACCACTATTTAATTTTTGAGACGATACATACAAATTATAAAGAGTTCATTTGACGGAATTATATATTTTATTATCACATCCCTTTTTCTTCGAACGGATTGTTATTCACTTTTTCTTAAATATTGTAAGAAATTTACATTGCTATCAGCTTTCAGCTGCTCTACTGATAAATGTTGATATTATAGAGACCGGTACTATTTCTAAGTACACAATGTTACATTTACGACGGTATGATACTATATTATACAAAGATTGTTTACACGCGCGCGTTAATTCTGTTCTATTAAATTCGTGCGTGTCACGAGTTGAACTGTCAGTTAATATCCGAATAGATCCTAAAAGTTGATAAAGTGGTTTTTAATCGACACTTGTACATTGTGGTTTAAACTCTATGACGCATGTTATATAGAGATTTGTTTTATATGGACAAGGACGCGTTTGACGCCTTTTTTGATAGAGGATTTTTTCGGTGTGGACGATTGAGGCATATGTATAAGAATATAATGTGATTTTCTTTTTTTATTTATTCTTAACTCACATAATTTTATATTAATAACGCAAGGAATTAAAGAGAAAGAATGATGACTGATGTACGTGTTGCACTTTTGTCACTATCGGAAAATGTCAATCCACAATCAGGGGAAAATCGTAAAGTCTGGTTAGTGTCGGACTAATATCGTGACGAGCCTTAAGATTGTTTTGGGAATGTTTATTGTAACAAACATTGTATGATACTATATACGTGAAATTAATCATTGTATTGTAGTATACCGAAATCTTGAGTGAAAAGTGAACAAACATATCGCAAGGAGAAATTCGATATGTGTGAATAATTATATAAGAAAAATAGGCAAACGAGAGAGAGAGAGTTATTAGTGAGAATACAACAGGTATCGATTGGAGCTAATGAAGTTTTTAGCTCTTGCAATATAATACTTATACGGAAGGAAGAGAAGTAATCATTAAGTAATACTTGTCGGTAACATCAGCTTCCTTGATATGTCTTCTTTAGCATATTTGCTATTTAACTGGATTGTTTAGTGAGTGAAATATTATGTGATTTATATTAATCAATTCCGTGGATTCTTTTTCGTGAACTAATATTTAAAATCAATACGAGGTAACACAGGCAAAGTAAGAGTTTCGTGTTCTAACAGAAAACGCAATCACTCGAGGAAGTCGTTGATTCATTAAATTTTCTCCGTGTTAACAGTGATTATGATCATTGACAGATATCTCTATCTCTATTTATTTGTTGTTATATATTAATAAATAGACGGAAGAACGCTGAAAAAAAATCATCAATAAGAGTAAATACTTTACAATAGCTTTAATCGTGAGATACCTTTAAATGCTACATACCACTATTTTATATATAAAAATAAAAAAAGAGAAATAACGAATAAACTGTTGGATACTGCAAAATCTCACAGGCCAAAAACCGCGTTAATTTTATTTTTACCGTTGCTCTTATCTATTTTATATAATTCAGTAACCAAGCTCCAAGTTACGAGGCATCTCCACACTACTATAGTTACACATTACATTGTTATAATTATTTGGCATGGGTGGTGGTTAATAGTGTAATAGGTATGTATTACGCATGTACATAGCTATTTGCTAAAAGTACCGACGTATTTGATTATCACTATTTTGACACTAAGATCTATTTTTTACGTTCAAACGGTTATATTCTAAATATTGAAACGGTAACGACACAGCATGTGACGAAATATATCTTATCTAGGAAACTTTTAGAAAATCTATACCATACTTGTCTACGTTGTATTTACCGTGTACTAATCTTTTATATGTAATTACTAATGCACATTTATTGTGATTATATTTATTAGCGAGCAAGGTAAACGGGGAACCATCACTCACCGCCAGATAATTTTCATTGTGTAATTGTTTGACTTGGTAGTCGATATATAGCGGCAGATGAACAAAATTAAAATTACATGAAATGAAAAAAAAATGTACCGTCATCCTTTTGATGTTTCGAATCTCAAAAGCATGATAGCGACGCAACTCTTTTTTCTAAAAAGTAAAAAAGAAAGTAAAAATCATGTAAATTGAGAAAAGGCAGTCGAGGAAAAATTATCAATGAAATGAAAACGAGTACACACGTGGATAATTTTAATTTTGTTGGTCTAGCTGGTGGAGAGGCTGCAAGAGGAGAAGAGGCTGGAACAGATAAGAAGAAAGGAGAGAACGGAGGCGTACTTGTACATGACCGTCAATGTCCTTCTCGAGGATAGCTTTGACGGTCACCAAGGGAACGATCTCTACGATCCAGAGCACGCTTTATATCGTGTATTTCGCGTACGTAAGCAGGCGACTGTACACGATTTTCTCGAGCTACTGAGTGATAGTTTGGTAAGTGAGCTTGTCAAAGACAAATTGCTTTCATACGCTGTTTTTCTGTCGTTGATTTTTACGTGTTTACACGTGTACATCGGAATTTATTTACGAAGTAAATCGATACCGGTGTAATACTAGTGTAACGTATTCCGTACGCTAATATGGTCTATAAAATACTTTGTTAGCGATTTCTAAAACTGTATTTCTGCGCAATACACATGTACACATTCGCACAACACGATAAGTAATAAAATATGACTTGATATTTTTGTTTTTTCATATAAAAATAAGAAATAGTAGAATTTCTCTCATTTTTCTTTGCACAAAATAGTAAGTCCTTTATAGCAGATTACACGTGATAAAGCACAATTATATTGAATTTAATACTTTGTATTTTATTTTGGTAAATATGTAACTTTCAAATTTTTACCAAAAGTTTTCCGGTTAATTTAGAAATTTGAAAAAAATGATAAAATTATTTAATATTATCTGATTTTTTTCTTCTCTGTCTCTCTCTCTTTCTACAGAAATATCCAATAGAACAGATTCGTATTTGGCCGTTCAGTCAACGTTCAAATCAAACCTGTAGACCTACACTAATCGAGCCGGACGCGGACCTTCAGAAACCTATCATCGATTGTGCGGAAAATCACAACCCTTGGAATGTCTTTGTCGAACTTGTTCCACCTGACTCGGACATGACGGCATTACCGCCCTTTGACAAAGACACCGACGTTTTACTCTTCTTTAAGCTATACGATCCCAAAAATAAGAAAATACATTACTGTGGTCATCATTACATGCCTGTTACTGCTAAAGTCCGTAAGTTGGAACATATATATATATAT